CCATCCTCCTCTACTTTATATGTGGGACACCTACCACAGCATGGCTTGCCAAGCAGTGCCATGTCCGCACCTGGGATCCGAACCGGCGAACCCCAAGCCACTGAAGCGGAACGTGCGAACTTAACTGCTGCGCCACTGGGCTGGCCCTAAGGTGGAGGAAGATGGGCACGGATGTTAGCTCAGGGCCAGTCTTCCTCAGCAAAAAGAGGAGGATTGGCAGCAGATGTTAGCTCAGGGCTAATCTTCCTCAAAGGAAAAAAAGAAAACAATTCCATTCACAATAGCATCAAAAAAGTACAAGATTTATACTCTGAAAACTACAAAAATTGCTAAGAGAAATCAAAAAAGATGGAGGGGCTGGCGCCATGGCTGAGTGGTTAAGTTTGGGTGCTCTGCTTTGGTGACCCAGGGTTCACCATTTCAGGTGGTGCAAACTATACACTGCTCATCAAGCCATGCCATGGTGGCATCCCACACAGAAGAGCCAGAATGACGTACAACTAGGATACACAACTATGTACTGGGTCTTTGGGGAGAGGAAAAAAAAGAGGAAGATTGGCAACAGATGTTAGCTCAGGGCCAACTTCCTCACCAAAAAGTATACTTAAAAAAAAATTGAACATCTAAGTAAACGAAAAGATATTCTATATTCCTTGATTAGAAGATCTTTGTGATCTTGGGTTAGGCAAAGAGTCTTAGACACCACACCAAAAGCATGAACCATAAAAGAAAACTAGTAAGTTGGACTTCATTAAAATAAACTTTTGCACTTCAAAAGACAACATTTAAAAAATGAGACAAGCCACAGACTGGGGAAAATATCTGAAAATGTTATATCTGATAATCCATAATATATAAAGTCTTAGAACTCAGTAAGAAAACAAATAGGCAAAAGACTTGAACAGATATGTCACTAAAGAAGACATAAGAATGGCCAATAAACTTGAAAAGGTCCTCAGCATGACCCTCAGAGAAACACAAAATCAGCATAGCCAAAAGTGAAATAAAGCGACCGTACCAAACATTGGCGAGGATGTGGAACAAGTGGAATTCTCCTACTTTGTAAAATGATACAACCACTTTGGAAAACAGTTTTTTAAAAAGCTAGACACAAATACTATATGAGCCAGCAATTCCACTCCTAAGAGGAATGAAACACGTCCACACGAGAAGGCTCATCCAAATCTTCACGGCTACATCACTCACAGTAACCCCGATGGAAGCGCCAAACATCCATCAGCTGGCGATGGGTAAACGCAACATGTCAAATCCAGACCACGGGAACTACTCAGCTTAACAAGGAATGAAGTACTAACACGTGCTACCAGGTGGATGAGCCCTGAAAACATTACGCTCGGTGAAAGAGGGGAGACAGAAACGCCCACGTTGTATGGGAATGTTCTAAAACTGGATTGCGGGTCTGGCTGCACAAGTCTGCAGATTTACTAAGAATCACTGAATCATATACTTACCACAGGTGAATTTATGGTGTGCGAATTACATATCAATAAAGCTGCTTTAGAAAAAGAATTGTTGGGTAAAGTCACATGGGTTAATACTTTATAACACTATACTAATAACTAATTAGCCAATACTTCTGAAAAAAATTTCAGCCTAGACAAAGAGAAAATGAAGTTAAGGAGAAAAAAGATAACATTTATAACAGTATCAAAAAGTAACAACCATTTAGGAAAAAATCTAAAAAATATATGCAAGACCATAACATAGGAATCTACAAAAACACCAGAGAAACCAAAGCAGCCCTAAACGGAAGGAGGAATTGCACCCCGTCCACAGACGGGGAGACTCAGCATCGTGAAGAGGTAGGTTCTCCACAGATGGCAACAACTCAGCCCACAGCCGGCTGTCTGACTTTGCTTTAGACATTCGACAAGCTGCTCCCAGCGTCTAAGGAAACAGAGGACCACGAGGAGCACGATGCTCCTGGAGGAGAGGACGAGGGGAGGACGTGCTCTACCAGTTGCCTCAACTTACCGAACAGCCTCCACGGTTCAGGTGGAGCGTGAGCGAGGCCACAAGCCCAGGAAGGGCCACGGCTGATCTGGACCCGGAGTCCCGCAGAGGCGGTGCTGAGAGCAGGGAGGGCAGGGGAGCCGGCGCCCCGAACGGCGGGGGGCAATCGTAACCCGTTGAGAAGAATCCAGGTTGAGTTCCAGCTCACACTCGCAGAAGTGGGTGAGGGAGAACGGGGCGCGCAGGGGTCGAGGTGAAAGGGGAGCAACAACTGTTTGCAGGATGGTTCAGGAGGAGACACGCAAGCGCATCTGCCGAACAGGACTGGAAACCACGACGGGCTGCATAAATTGACCTACATTAAAAAAACTGGTGGAATTTTTCCATCTTTATTGTTGGTATTTGAGGAATCAAGTTCAAGATGTAACATTTAAGGAACATCTATGAGACCACATTAAAATTAAGAACTCTCACCAGAATCTTGACAAAGAGACTGGAAAGACAAACCACAGAGCAGGAGAAAACACTGGCCACACGCACCTGAGAGAGGGCTTGTGACCAGGATATGATTTTTTTTAAACGTCTTATAAATCAGACTGACAAATAGAAAATCGGTAGGAGACTTAGATGCATTTCACCAGGCAGGACGACCTACTGGCCAGCGAGTCTCTGAAAGCCGCTGTTGCATTGGTGACTGAGGAAACTTGGAACAGTAAAAGCCACTGGCCTCTCCCACTGGGGGGCAAGAGGAGACAGGGTGGGCTGTGGCATCAAGGGCACCCCCATTGGCCCCAGGAGGGAGTGACCCCCTGACACTCAGGGAGGGTTGGCCTCACCTGCCAAGAAGACACACACCCTGGTCCCAGTGATTCTATTTAGGACCAACAGAAGGCACGCCCAGTGCCCCAGGAGACCCGGACCCAAAGGCTCACGTAGCAGCAGGAAGTGAACTCAGTGTCTGTCAGCAGCAGATGGATGAGCACATCCCATGACATTTCTGACTGCATCTAGGACTTGGCTGAATCACACATCACACAAGCAGCCAGATGGAGTGCTTCTGTGAGCCCCCGCTTACGCGAAGATCTAAACAGGCGAACTACACCAGAGTCCTCGGGGAGACCCTCGGGCAGTCACCCAGGAGGAGGGGCCCGGGCAGTGAGCAGCTTGAGACTCAGGACAGGCCCCTCTGGGGGAGCAGGGACCAGAGGTGGCCCGGGGGCAGGGACAGAGGCGTTCTTTCTAGAACTGAGCAGGCTGCACACTGACATTATTGTAAGATCAAGAAAGGTTTGAGAATACCCAGGCCCGTGGCCCAAATCCTGATGCGGGTCCCCCCCCAAGATCCACTGGGATTCACAGGAAGTCTCCCGTCCTCCCGTCCAGACGTGAACCCCGGATGCTGACTCTCCCGTCCCAGTCCGCGTGCCCGTGCTCCCACCTCAGCCCTCACGGCCTCCAGTCAGGCAGAGAGGGCCCTCCATGCAGGGAACTTTCTGGAGAAGAGGCCTGGCTGGCGCCGGAGCTCTTGCTGAGTCCACACTTTCTACTGTGTAAATGTATGTTTACTGTGTAATTTTCTGGGTGTGGACTTTCTCCCTGTGGATCTATAATTTCTCAGAAGAGAAGCTGAGAAATGACCTGGGAAAAAATCAAAGCTCAATAAAGGGATAGAGATAAAGCTGCCTCCCTCCCACAATGCCTCAGGCCCGGGAGCTCCAGAGGGGTCTCCATGGCCGGGCCCCCAGCCTCTCCTGGGCCCAGCAAGTGGCCAGGCCACAGACAGCCAGGGCAGAGCTTTTGGACCCCTCGGGGGAGGGGAGGGGGTGCGGCCAGCACCGGCCCACCTTCCTGCTTCCCTTCCCCACCGTCCACGCCCCCAGGATGCAGCCCTGCCTTCTCCCTTTGAGAGTCCCCCAACCCTCAAGGAGCCTCGCCCTCCCCAGACCTGGTGTTGCCCCTTCCAGCCCCTCCCAGTCCCTCTTGAGCACAAGCCCACCGCCCCAGGCAGAGCAGAGGGACTAGGGGGCAGGCACAGCTGACAGCCAGAGGATGGGTCCTGGGGAGAGGAGGGAGGGGAGCGCTGGAGGGCCGCACTGCACCTGCCAGCTCCTGGAGGGGACGTAGTCGGAGCAGGAAGAGCAGAGCCAGGGGCTGGGGGCGAGGGTGCACCGGGCTACCCTCACTCGAGGCCACTCCAGCTGGTAGCCTTCTTCCCTGCCTGACCCGGGGCTGACCTCAGGCCAGGCAAGGCCCTGGGCACAGTCCCAGTGGCCTGTGCACAGAACAGGGTGGCTGTACCCCCACAGGAGCCCTGGAGGACAGTATGGGGGCCCTGAGCCAGGCCATCCCCCACCTTCTCCCTGGGAGGGCGGCGCCAGGGAGACAAACACAGGGCCGCCGGGGCCCTGCCAGGTGTTCCTAGAAGAGAGGCCGGGGGAGGGGCAGGGCCAGACACCAGCTCACCCTGAGGTCACAGGAGAAGCCCTGGGGAGCCTGAGTGGGACCCCGCCCAGACTGTCAGGAAATGGGGAGGGGGAGAGGGGTGGTCACCGTGCCAAGGCAGAGGGGCAGGCCCACTGGGAAATATGGTGGCTCTTGCTTAACCCCCACATGGCCTTTGGCTGTGTGCGAGGACCCCAGGAGCTGTCCCAGGGCCCCCACCCATGGGCAGACGGCCAGCCGAGCACAGGGGCCTCCTCTCCTGGATCCCTCAACCTGTCCTGAGCACCAGCCTCTCACAGGCTGCCCCAGGGACACCCTGGCTCTCACCTGCCTGCTGCCCCAGCTCTGCCCAGCCCAGTCCTGCAGGGAGATGGGGGTGGGATCAGGAGGACAGGGGGTGGGGGACAGGACCCTTGGCCCTCAGAGCTGCACCACGGCCCCCCATGGAACTGGACGGCGGCTTCAGGGCACAAGCAGCCCCCCAGCTTCTCCCAGGCTGTCTGCACCACAGGCCCTTGGTGCTGATGCTGGCCGCCCGGCACGAGGGGGTTAACGGAGCCCGGGCCAGCAGAGCTGGGCTGGCCGGTGACAGGGCGCTGGCTGCCCCAGCGGTGGAGAAATCCAGAGGGCAGGAGCAGCCGGCCCCGGCAGACGCACCCTGCTCGCTGCCTGCCTGCGGCCTGCTCTGCACGCGGGATGGCCCTGAGGAGAGGTGAGGCCCTGAGTGCTCTGGCCAGTGGCTCTGGGGGTGGCCAACCCTGTGCCCAAGCCTGCTGGGGAAGGGGCAGCCCCCAGGGGAGGCTCAGCAAGGGGTGGGCTGGGGGACTCTGAGAGCCCATTGGGAGGATATCGCTGCTGGGGGTTTTGGGGGCCACAGCTGCACCTAGCCCCAGAGGATCTCCACTACTTCTTCTCGCCTCCTCTCCTTCCCGAGGGCCCAGGATGGGAGCGCAGGGGCGGAAGGGCGAGGAGAAGGCAGGGCGGGCGTCTCCTCACACCTCTCCCCCCGGGGCCTCACCCTGGACGCTCTGCTGGGCCAGGGCCTGCTCCCCTGTCCCCTCAAGAGGCCTCGCCCCACCCAGCAGGCTGTGAGGCACCCTCCGGCACTGCCTGTGCCCCCACCCCAGGATCCTGCGCTCTCCCAGAGCAGGGACGGGCCTGATGCGGTGGGCAGCCAGTGCCCAGCGGAGGTTTTGGGACATTGTTGCTGGGGAGCCTGGTGCCCTTTGTCCTGAGGCACAGCCTGACCCCTGGTGGGTCAATGGTCTAGGGTCTCGTGTCCCCGAGGCCTGCGTGTTCCTTTCCCCACCCCAGTGCTGGGATTTCTGAGCCAAGTCCCTGGGTGCAGCCTGCCCATGCCAGGGAGCCGGCGGGTGAGTGCCCCCTAATCTGAGGGCCTAATCGGGGCAGTGGGTGCCCAGCTCGCTGTCCAGCCCCCATGGGCTCTGAGGACGTACCCACCCAGGCCCACTCCAGACGTTCATTCCCTCACTTACATCTTCCTCCAGGCTCGCCTGGCAGCCTGGCCCAGCTCAAGTGTCCACCCTGGGGACACGGACAGCCACATGGCCTAATCACCAGGTGCGCCTCCCTCAGTTTTCTCTGGAACAGGCGTTGCCACCCCATCGGTCCTGCGGGGTGGAAAGGACAGTCCGTTTTGAGCCAGAAGATGTCCTATTTGAGTGGGCTGACTGCGACTGTCAGCTCGGCCCTTTCTCCAGGCTGGTCAACAGCACCCCTCTTACAGGCACGGGCTGCGTCCGGGGCTAAGCTCCACGGCGGCCCCGGGTGTGGGCTGAGGCCTGGCAGGCTCCAGGTCTCACCCCAGGGCTCACATCCGCCCTCAGTGCCACCCCCCCACACCCCTCTCCCACAGGAGGCCTGGCCCTGGTGGTGCTGCTGGTCTCCTGGGCGGCACGGGGCCCCTGTGGCCTGGAGGCCGCAGAGCCCGGAGGACCGGGGGACGCTGAGGGCCTGCAGTGCCCGGCCGTCTGCACCTGTGGCCACGACGACTACACGGACGAGCTGGGCGTCTTCTGCAGCTCCCGGAACCTCACGCGGCTGCCGGATGGCATCCCAGCTGGCACCAGGGCCCTGTGGCTGGATGGCAACAACTTCTCCTCTGTCCCCGCGGCGGCCTTCCAGAACCTCTCAGGCCTGGGCTTTCTCAACCTGCAGGGCAGCTGGCTGGCCGGCCTGGAGCCCCAGGCACTGCTGGGCCTGCAGAACCTGTACCACCTGCACCTGGAGCGGAACCAGCTGCGCAGCCTGGCGGCCCGCACCTTCCTGCACACGCCGGGCCTGGCCTCGCTCGGCCTCAACAACAACCTCCTCAGCAGGGTGGACGAGGGCCTCTTCCAGGGTCTGAGCAACCTCTGGAACCTCAACCTCGGCTGGAACAGCCTGGCCGTGCTCCCCGACACGGCCTTCCAGGGCCTGGCCAACCTCCGGGAGCTGGTACTGGCAGGCAACAAGCTGGCCTACCTGCAGCCGGCGCTCTTCTGCGGCCTTGCCGAGCTGCGGGAGCTGGACCTGAGCAGGAACGCCCTGAGGAGCGTCAAGGCCAACGTCTTCGTCAAGCTGCCCAAGCTCCAGAAGCTCTACCTGGACCACAACCTCATCGCCGCCGTGGCCCCCGGCGCCTTCCTGGGCATGAAGGCGCTGCGCTGGCTGGACCTGTCGCACAACCGCGTGGGCAGCCTCCTGGAGGACACCTTCCCGGGCCTGCTGGGCCTGCACGTGCTGCGCCTGTCGCACAACGCCATCGCCGGCCTGCGGCCCCGGACCTTCAAGAACCTGCACTTCCTGGAGGAGCTGCAGCTCGGCCACAACCGCATCCGGCAGCTGCCGGAGAAGGCCTTCGAGGGCCTGGGCCAGCTGGAGGTGCTCACACTCAACAACAACCAGATCCAGGAGGTCAGGCCGGGCGCCTTCCTCGGCCTCTTCAACGTGGCTGTCATGAACCTCTCTGGCAACTGTCTGCGGAACCTTCCAGAGCAGGTGTTCCAGGGCCTGGGCAAGCTGCACAGTCTGCACCTGGAGGGCAGCTGCCTGGGCCGCCTCCGCCCGCACGCCTTCGCCGGCCTCTCGGGGCTGCGCCGGCTCTTCCTCAAGGACAGCGGCATCGTGGCCGTGGAGGAGCAGAGCCTGTGGGGGCTCGGGGAGCTCCTCGAGCTGGACCTCACCTCCAACCAGCTCACGCACCTGCCCGGCCGGCTCTTCCACGGCCTCGGCAAGCTGGAGTACCTGCTCCTCGCCCGCAACCGGCTGTCGGCACTGTCGGCGGATGCCCTGGGGCCCCTGCAGCGCGCCTTCTGGCTGGACGTGTCGCACAACCACCTGGAGGCCCTGCCCGAGGGGGTCCTCTCGCAGCTGGGGCGGCTGCATTACCTCAGCCTCAGGAACAACTCCCTACGGACTTTCGTGCCGCAGCCCCCTAGCCTGGAGCGCCTGTGGCTCGAGGGCAACCCCTGGGACTGCAGCTGCCCCCTCCAGGCCCTGAGGGCCTTCGCCCTGCAGCACCCCACCGTCGTGCCACGCTTCGTCCAGGCCGTGGTGGAGGGGGATGACTGCCAGCCCGCCGTGTACAACTACAACAACATCACCTGTGCCAGCCCTCCTGGCGTCTTGGGCCTCGATCTGCGGGACATCAGCGAGGCCCACTTTGCTCACTGCTGACCTGAGGCTTGCCCGGCCGGACACCGCCCTGGGGTCAGAACGGGCCCTCAGCATCACCGGAGCCTGCGGGCACATGGCCCCTCAGCTTTCGGGGGCCAGGCCCCATACTGCACACTTGCTGGGGTCCCTCCTCCAGGGGACACACAGTTCTGGGGCTTTGTTGGTGCAGGCTCAGGACCTGTGGGCACCAGCCTGGTCCCTGAGGACCTGACCAGGACGGTGGGGGGTGGGCGGGCGGGCACAGCCCTCCCCATCTGTCATCAATTAAAGCAGTCTAATAAACACAACGTGCGACCACAGGGATAACACTCGGGGGAGGGGAGGGAAGCGCTGGCCCCGGCTTGCTGCGGTCCACCCCGCCATGCCCTCCATGCTGTGTGCCCTTCGCAGTCCGTCCCCTTCCTGTGCCTGGACTCTCTCCACGTCCCCCGACCTCTGGGCCCTCCTGGGACACCAGCCCTGACCTGAGGAGTGGCGGGCACTTACTCAGGTCCTTCCAGAACCTCATTGTCCTGGTCCTGGCCCTCCTCTTTGGGCAGTGTCCTCAGAGGCAGCCTGGTCATCGGAAGCCAGAGCCGAGCTATGGTGGCCGCTGCTCCGAGAGGCCCAGTAGTTAGCAGTGGAGGCCCGAGTGGGCCCAGAGTGGGGCCGAGCCTCACTCCCCAGGATCATGTGTTCCCATCCAAACCCCTCAACGGCTCCCTGCCGCACGCCACCGCCTCAGCACAGCCCCACCCACCCCCCTTCCAGGAAACCTCCGTCTGTGGCGCAGCCATCACTCTTCCCACCTTCCCCCGGGGAGTGCTACCTGAGGCTGCATCCTGGACCCCTGGCTCTGCTGACAGCCCAACCTCTCCCCTTGGAAAGGAGGGCACACAGCACCACCAGTCTGCTTCCTGGAACCGCTTTCCCTCCTGGCCTGCTGAGAGGGTGCAGGTAAGCACAGAGCCCCGGGACTCTCACTGCGTTCCAGATGCATCCTCTTTGCGCTTGGCTCTGCCAGGTCTCCACACTGTGGAGGGACGTGGTGGGCACTTGGCTCTGGGGGCCAGGCGTCCCCACTCACCCGTTTCTTCGCCATCACAAATTCCTCCACAAACTCCTACCTGACTCAGCACAAGGATAGGCCTGCCCGAGTCTGTGGAGGCCTGTTGACAATGGCACTACTGGCCCAGCCCCCGGACTCAGGGAGTGAACGCTGCCTGCTCTAGGATGCAGCCACTGCGGCAGAGAAGCGGGGCCAGGGCGGAAAGATCTAGAAACATCAGACTCGTAAGCAGGGCGGTAAGACCTGTTTAATTGTGAGTTCCTCTGAAGTTACAAGTGTAGCACCTCACAGGGTGTTCCCCTCTGTCAGCATGATCTCTTGCAGACTCACAGGCTGCTGAGAACCCAGGGCCACTGAGGACAGCAGTGGCCTGGCAAGCCTGCAGACACACCAGCTGTGTGAACAATGTGGGGACAGCTGGGAAGGGCAGCCTGTCCGCCTGTCGGGCGTGTGAATACTGAGATGTGAAGAGTGAATGTGATGTCACCAGAGGGCTCAGGCCATGGCACCTGGACCCCACAATGTCCCCTGGGCCCCCAGGCCAACCTGGCAGAGCCACTCACGGTCACCAGCTCTGATGCCAAGATGCTGCACAAGCACCGGAAATGTCTCTGAGGGCAGGGCCCCAGCAGGGAGACGCGAGCATGTGACAGCCAAGGGCCAGCCTCTGTGGGTCCTGGGAACTGCGCCCAGGACCCCTGCTCGAGTGTGTGAGCTAAAACCCACGTGGCCAGGAGGAGGTGCTCAAGGCCGCCTTGGTCAGGGGAGCTGAGCAGGCGTCTCGTTTAGAATCTTCTGGGCTATGGAGGAGAGGGCGGGAAACGCAGGGCTCTTGGGGAACTCCCGGATGAAGTCTCGGCCCTCCTCCAGGCTCCTTGTGAGCTCGGGGTCCAGGGGCACAGAGCCTGTGAAGACCGGAGGGGAGGGGCCGGGGAAGGGGTGAGGCGGTGAGAGGAGGTCCGGGCCGGGAGGGCATGTCCACTGCCCCTCAGGAGCCTGTCGGCACTGCTTGCATCTAGTGGACACCCCGCTGGCGCTCCCGCTGAGGCGTGGAAGGTGCTCGGGCTCCATTTCCACCTCGAAGGCCGGCAGCCGGCCCAGCAGGTGCAGCACCCCACTCCCGCGCTCTGCCCGCTGGAGACGGTGCAGGACGAGCACTGGAGACAAGCCGGCAGGGACCACCGGTGCCCCCTGACAGAGGCGCTCCCGGAGCCACAGCTGCCCCTCTGCTCCTCCAGGGTCCCAGCAGGCGTTTCAGCTGTGGGGGCCCCTCAAAGCCTGGGGTGGGGCCAGCGTTCCCCTAACAGGGCAGCTCTCTCCGGCTGGTTAGTGGTAACCAACTTCTCAGAGATGAGCTGAAACCCACAGCTCGAGGCAGACGAGAGGAACTGGCTCTGCCATCTTTCTCTCTCTCAGGTGTTGGGGGCACAGGCAGGTCAGCCCACCCAGGGCAGAGGCCCGAGGGGGTGGCCCTGACTGCTCACCTAGGAAGGGGACTCCAGCATGTCTGGCCAGCTCCTCGCCACCTCCCCTGGAGAAGACGTTGGTGCACTCCTAGGACACAGAGGCATGGAGTCCCTCCAGGACTCGCTCTCCACACTTGAGGGGCTGGGCCAGGGATGGCAGCATCCTTGCCCCCCAGTCACCCACGCCCCGCCCCACCCCAGGCTGGCAATCCGCCCAGCACCTCCCCACGACTCACCGCGCAGTGCGGGCAGACGAAGCCGCTCATGTTCTCCACGAGCCCGATCACCCGCAAGCCCGTCTTCCTACAGAAGGTCAGCTCCCGCCTCACGTCCCCCACGGACACCGCCTGAAGGCCGGCAAAGACACGAGACTGGCCAGTGGGCATCCCGGAAACTCAGCCAAGATGAGTGTGAAGAGCAGGGAAAAGCGTCCCCAGGGTGCAGTACCTGTGGTGTGGTGACCACGAGGGCCCCCAGGGGGCTATAGGGGCGCAGGGCGTCCACAGTGGCCATGTGCTCATCAGAGGTCCCTGGGGGCGTGTCCACAACCAGATAGTCCAGCTGTCCCCAGGCCACGTCAGACACAAACTGCTTTATCAGCGCTGCAAAGATCCAGGGAGGCCGGGGCCTGTGAGGGGCTCCCTGAGCCCAGTGCCTCCACCAGCCTCCAGGCACAGAGCCAGCTCCACAGGCCCCGGGGCCGGCTGACAGCAGGACAGCCAGCACGGGAGGAGCAGGTGGCGCAGCAGGGCGGCCATCCCTGCCCCGAGGAGCACTCCTTTCTCCCCAGCTGCTGGGCCCCCTCCACCCCTGCAGACTCCTGCTCAGGCCTTAGCCGAGGACGGTGAGCTGTGGCCTTCTCAGGAGTGGCTGAGCACCTCCAGCACTCTTGGCCGAGAGATGGCACCTGCGGTGGGACACCCATTGGCATGTGCTGAAGACCCCAACCCAGCCTGCTGCTCGCCACTGGTGGCCTCGCACTGCCAGTTAGACGGGCTTAATGCCACCTGCTGGTGCAAGGGCACCGAGGCCAGCCTCGGCGCCCCCACAGCATCCGCCACAGCATGGGTGGCCTCCTGTCTGAGCAGCCCAGCCCTGTCTGCCCCAGGGGTGGGGACGCGGTAGCTGGACGCGCATGCGCTGACTGCTCATGGGAGCCGCGGACAGTGGCTTAGAAGTGAAGACGCTCCAGCTTTACCCGAGGGCCATGCTGTGTGGGGAGGCCGGGGCGGGAGGAGAGCTGGCCTGGCTCCCACGCAGCTTTTTAACTGAACATGGAGGGGGCCGCGGGAAGAGGCTGTCCCCTGCCCGGTCATTACCGTTCTTCTTGGGGCCTCTCCACACCACGGCCTCGTCCGGCTTCTCCAGCAGGAAGCCCACGGACATGAGGGAGATGCTCTGCTCCTGGTCCACAAAGACAGGCACCCAGCCACTGTCACACTGGTGCACAGCCCTGCCCTGTGCCCGGAGCATGCGGGGGATGCTGGGGCCACACAGGTCCACGTCGAGGATCCCCACCTGCAGGGAGGCAGGACATGCACATGGTGTATAGGGGCCTCCCAAGGCAGGGACACCGTCAAGCAGGAAGAAACCAGCCGGCTGCCCTGTGTGTCCACCCCCAAGGGGCAGAGGTGGCTCAGGAGGGGAAAGGGGGGGGGGTCGCACCTTTTTGCCCGCGTGGCGCAGGGCCAGGGCCAGCTCCGTGGAGATGGTGCTTTTCCCAACACCCCCCTTTCCCGAGAGGACGAGGATGATGTGCCGGACGCCGGCCAAGTTTCCAGGCTCTGGTCAGGAGGATAAGAGGGGAGGTGAGCAGGGAGGGCCTTTCACACCAGATGCTCTTCACTGCTCACTCCCCACAGGGTCACCAAGCACCTCACACATTTGAGTCCTGAGACCTGCCCTTCACCCCACTGACCGCTGACCTGCTGGTTCCTCCAAAGCTGCTGCCCCCGCTCCCATCTGAAGTGGGGCTGCTAGGGCAGGCAATGCCCCCAAACCACTCCTCTTTCTAGTGTGCACATGTGTGACTGCACACCTGTGAGCTGGCAGGCACATGGGTGAAACGACCCAGAGACTGCCAGCTCCCAGCTGACTCCAATGGGAAACGGGCGCAGATGAACATCGTCACAGCCTGGTGGTATGTCCGTGCCGGGGGAGCTCCTACCCCTGCTCCTAGGACCCACGTCTGATCTGTGGGCTCCCAGCCTGCTCCCCTGGGGTCAGAAGAGGACTCAAGGCAGCCCTGGGCTCTAGTTCTCAGGAGGGACACTTACAGCTCTGGGGACCCAGCATCACCTGGCTACCTCAAGGCCTGCTCTTGTGTTGGCCGGGCCTTAAGAAGCCCCAAGTACAAAAGGGCAGCCACAGGATGCACGCTCCTCAGGCAGGCCTCGGGCCCAGCAACTCTGGATCCCTGTGGCCGCCAGCCATTCTGCCCCAGCTCCTCTTCCTTCCAATGAGCCCGAATTGACACCGAGTAAATATTCACCATCTCAATCACTGCCACCCCACAGGTGTGCCATCTGCATACACACAGCCCTCAGCCTCATACCCCCAGGTTCCTGCCTCAGCGCCCTGGGGGCCTCACCATCCCCATTCCCGCTGGGCTCCAACAAGCTGCTCTCTCCAGCACCCTCGCCACACACCCGGGCCCTTGGGAGAAGCTCAGCAAACGACACATAAATGCTGTCCCTCCTCCTGACCCACCTCTTGGTCTTGCTAGGCCTCCAAGGCCTCCCTAGGGAGAACTCGGAGGGCACCCGCCCTGGCTTTCAGGCAGGTCCTTGTCACAAATGCGTCACAGTGCTCCTCCCAGGCCTCCTTCCAGCAGCCGGGGCTGGGACATCTTGTAAGGTGACGAGGAAAGGGCACACTCCCCATCCAGATCTCTGCCAGCAAACACCAAGCCCCTGACATCTGGGCTCGAGGTCACCCCTGCCGCAACTTAGAAGGTTGTTAGTTGCATTGCTTTACTACCAAAAGCTAGCTAGGTGTCAATTTCACTTCTGTGGGGGGGGAGGGGCAGGGTGACGGGAAAGACCAAGCCACTGTGGATCCTGATTTCTCCTCTGCTGTTAGTGCGGTTCTGTGCAGCCAATCTCCCAGCAGTGACAACTTGCTTTCCCCACTGGTGGGAGTGGGGAATTTTATCTGCTTGAGCATCAAAAAGGACCCTGATGTGCTCAGGTAACTGGAAGGAGCAGTGAACTTCTCACACAGCAATCCTTAGGGGTCAATCACGAGAACCTTTCACTCTTAAGTAAAGTGACAAAGTTTATGAGTAGATGAGCAATGACGTATTTACCCAGTGCCTACTGTGGGAGACTGTGCTGCAAGGGGCAAAGGAAAGCAGTAGCTGCCCACAGAAGGACCTCAGGCCCCGTTCACAGACAAGCCCCTGACAGCCTCCTTACTAAGTCCGCCCAACAGCGATTATTTGATACACTAGACAAATAGGTAAATTTTTGTATACAAAGAATCTCTCTGGAAAGCCTCTGGGCACAGGGAGGTCTTGTGTTTTGGCTTTTTCCTGCATACCCCATTAGGCCTTCTGAGGTTTTTTTTATTTTTATTTTTTTTGAGGAAGACTGAGCCTGAGCCAACATCCGTGCCCATCTTCCTCTACTTTATATATGGGACGCCTATCCCAGCATGGCTAGCCAAGTGGTGCCATGTTCGCACCTGGGATCCAAACCCGTGAACCCGGGGCCAGAGAAGTGGAACGTTCGAACTTAACCGCTGCACCACCCCGCCGGCCCCAGCCTTTTGAGTTTTTAATGTGCATTTTTTCAACCCTGGTTAAAAAAGAAGCCTGGCTCAATCTAGAAGATAATCTTCACACTTTGCAGTAAGTCTGGCCTTATCATAACAAGCCGTTTCAGATGTTTTTCTCCAGTGTTACATTTATAAACTGATGGATGAGTAAAGCGGTCTAAGAGCTTGGTGCCCAAGATACCAGACGTAGGTCTTTTAGAAGGTAACGTGCCCAACCACTGCCTATGGAGCCTATTCTGGCTCACCTGTGCAAATCCGATCACACCTACTTGCGTGTATTCCGTCCCACACACTTCCGTGTTTCTAAGTTCTAAGGCTTAGAAAGCTAGAATACTACTTCCACAGAGAATTAGAGGCGTGTGAGGTCCTAGTTTCTTCTCTTTAAAACTCAGCACTTACGACTTCTTTTGAAGTCCTGTTTAAAATCTAAGATTCAAAGCTTCCGGATCACCAGGCCACCAAATCAAAAACCCACGGCATAAAACGGGGCAGTATTTCTGCTTTTCACATCAAAAACTGGTCTGTGTTATCTGCAGACACGGACGACGGTCCCCTGCGCGGCACATGCACGCGCGGCGCTGTCATCACCGCCGACTCGCCCCTGAAGGCATCGTGCACACCCACACGGCACCTCTGCGGCCGTAACGCAATCGTTAAGAGGACGACCTGCTAAAAGCCCAGAGCCCGGACGAGCGGCTGCCGGCCGACCCCTTTCCGCTCCCCTCGGCTGCACGGACCCGACGCTGCCCACGGGTCCCGCACACTCACCCGCGGCCGCCTCCATCCCTCCCGCGGCGCCGCGCGGCTTCCGTCCACTTCCTCCGGCGACCCCCCCCCCCGCCTTCAGGCCAGAGTGAAGAGCCTTCGGACCAATGAGCAGCGCGAGCCCGCCCACTGACCCCTCTTGATAGGCCACTCGCGCTTCCCTCAACCAATCAGTTCGCACGTGGGGGTGCACGCAGATTCCGGCGCGGACGGCGTACCGGAGACGGACCCACTTCCGTATGAATGCCTGACTATGGGGCCGCCTCCCTTCCTGCCCCGAGTCCAGTGGCCGCGCGGGCCTTGTCTCCGGGCGCTTGAGATCGACCAATGGGGACGTCGAGTCAGGACTGACAGGGCCAGCAGCCTCTCGGCAAGAGGCTTGTGCGGCATGGCCGCCCCCGCCGAAGGCCCGAGCGGGCGCGCCCGCCTGCGCGGCGGAGCCACTGCGGCGCGGGGGGCGGGCCGCGGGGCGGGGATTGTTTACGTCTCGTTCGGGAGCGGAAAGTAGGTCACGGCCGGCCCGGCGCAGCGCGGCGGCGGCGGAGCGGCTGCAGGTGAGCGCGGCGGGGCGCGTCCGCGCCTCCCGGGCCCCACCGTCGCCCGGCTCGGGACGGCCGCTCCTTGCGGGAGCTGCGGGCGGTGGGGCCCGGCCGCGCCTTTGTGCCCGCGGGCGGCGGCGCCGGGAGGGCCTGGGCTCGGCGGCGGCGCTGCAGGCCGAGCGGGCAGTGGGCGGTGGCTGCCCCGCAGCGGTAGGCCCACCGCGCTGCGCCCGGAGGAACTCCCGCAGCAGCGCTCGAAACGGGCATTAGTACGAGGCCCGTTTCGAAATGCCCCGCTGCTCCGGGGTCTGGGGGCGCGCTGCACGGCTCCGGGGCGGGGCCCGTCTCGGGGCCGCTCCTTCCGCGCGCACCGCCTGCTGTGGCTGCGGCCGGGCCGGGCGGTGAGGGAGCGGGGTGGCCGCGCTGCCGGCGGGAGGGGAACTGGGTCTGCAGGCGCGCGCTACCGTCCCTCGAAAGCTGCGCTGCGTTCCCTCCCTGGCGCGCTGGCCTGCGAGCCTGGCGGGGCCTCACCGGGGCAGCGCCTGCCCTCCTGGGGGTTCGGTCCAGGGGGGAGCCAGGCGGGAGAGGATCGTAGAAACGCACATGTCACTATAAGTCGCGTGTGGGAGCTAAGAGCCATAGAGGGGTGGGGAAGGCCGTTCCGGGCAAAGGGCGCAGGAGAACTCGGTAGGCTTGGAGGACTCTGCATTTTATTATAAGAACAATGGCAAGCCCTGAGGACTTCTAAGATTTGTTTAAGTTGTTAGCATTTGTGTTTGGAAAAGCTTGGCGGTCGGGAGTGAAGTGGGAGGAGCCAGAGCGGAGAGAGTTGTGTAGGGGGGAGGGCGTGGTGGCAGTGGGGATGGAGAGATGGGTTCAGGACATGTTTTGGAGGTGGCGTGGCGGGTGCGGGAGCGTGAGGCAGCGGTGGGAAGGAGGAAGCTGTCGGGATGACTGCCGCGTGCCTGGCATGAGGAACTGGGAGGCTGGAGATGCCATTTGTCAAACTCGACAATGGAGGAGGAGCCAGGGGCGTTTTGAGATGGCTGCGGGACAGGCAAAACAGCTGGGTTCGGGAGACTGAGCTGGGAGAGGGACCGAGACTGGGTCGGAGAGTCATGGATGTCTGGATGGCGTTGCACACGCTCTACCTGGTTCTCCTCCAGGTGCTCGCATCCTGGTGTGAGGTACAAGTTTGTGAAGAGAGGTCCCTGGGCCCCGGTTTGGCCTCAGCTTTGTGGGTCTGGCACAGCCGGCCGGGGGCAGAGTGTGGGCTTGCGGGGAGACCCTCCGCTGTGCTGCAAGCCTTCCTTTGCTCAGACCCTGTTTTCTTCCAGTTTCTGTCGGCCATGGCCAGGCGCCCCCGGAGCAGCAGAGCGTGGCATTTTGTGCTGAGTGCAGCGCGCCGAGACACAGACGCGCGGCCCATGGCTCTGGCCGGGACCGCCAGCTGGGGCTACGACTCTGATGGGCAGGTAGGTCCCAGTGAGTGAGGCGGACGTGGCTGGACTAAGGTGCGGGGACACCCGAGGCAGGCGTTGCCTGGACAGGGAGTGAGACAGAAAGATGCTGCTGAGGGCAGAGGAGGCGCCAGCCCCGAGCCCACTGTCCTGTGCACGTTCTGCTCACAGGCTGTTCACCCTGGTTCAGGGCCCACGTGCCCCGGGGTGACAGGACCTCAGGACACACAGCACGGTTGTCTCTGCTCTTTCCTCTGAAGAGGGTGGCAGTTGATTCTTTGGTCAGTTCGTTCAACAAAAACGTCCCCATTCTATTTGCCCAACCAGTTGCCAAAAGTAGTTGTTAACCCACTGTGCATCTTTCTGGCTGTTCCTCTGTCTGCGCAAATATGTGCTCTATGTTCGTGTATCTACATGTTAAAGAACTTTGATTCTTGAAGCCCAAAGTTCCTGTGCCTTCCCCGTCTCAGCGACTCCTGAGCTCTGGGATACCCAGCAGCATGGAGGCAGTGGGAAGAGCAGCTCAGCTATCTGTCCCTTGCCGGTTGCCTGATGTCCTGAGAGCTTTGAGCCAGAGCCTGAGCCCTGCGGGGCAGGATGCGGTACAGCCTCTGTGCCTGTCGGGGGCGGCTCTCAGTTGGCTTCTGAATCTCTTAGACTGGGGGGGGAAGTTGGCTCTCTCCTGAGTCACCCCGCTGCTCCCTGCAGGGGTGATGCTTGGGTGACTTGGCTCTGCTCTGTCACAGCCACCCGGTGTTGTCACCCTGGCTTAGCCGAGTGTCTTGGGTGGGGATAGGGGGGTGCCTCTCCTCCCTCAAGGGTAGCTGAGCCCCGCGGAACTGCCAGCCTGGGGGCTGCAGCTCTGGACTGGCAGCGTCCTGGGCCCGTTCCTGGGGCCTCCTGACCCCCCTGCTCAGGCCAGTGTTCCTGCCCCTCCTCCAGTTCCCACTGACCCGAGGCCTGGAGCAGTCTGTGCTCCTGTGTCTGTGCTTGCGTTGCCGGCTCATTGCTGTGGGATGCAAGAGGCATCATGGGGCTGGGACACAGTGTCTGACACACGCTCACAGCTTGTCTCGTCACCTAATGGGCCTGAAGTACTTGTGTGTGTGGGCGGGGCGGGCAGGCATGTGACCCTGGACACCTTTGAAGGGTGAGCACACCCACCTGTCTCTTCTGCTGTCATGCTCTCCTTAAGGCTTGCAGCGAGGCTGGGTGTGCCCTGTCCCGGGGGTTGGCATGCTGGTTGCCACCCAGCTTGACCTCGGGGCCTGTGGTGCTCAGCTCTGTGCTCCTGGCTCCTGCCTCAGTGGGAAGGGGTTGCCTGTGGCTAGCAGTGGGCCTGCCGTGGCTTTGGGGGGCCCACTGTTCCATGCTGGCGGGGGGCTTTCAGCCTGCTGCGTCTCCTGTCTGGTGTCTGTCTCTCACTGGGGCTCCATCTCCTCGCTCCCTTAGCTCAGGCTCTCCCGCGGACTCCTGGAGCTTCTGCGTGGGCCTTGGTGTGACAGGGAAGAAGGGAGGTCCAGGCCCTTCCCCTTCCCAAGGAGCGTCTGTTCTAGGGGGAGGGGGCAGCTGGAGAGGACGAAGGGCAACGTGAGGCGGGGTGCGGTGAGAAGGAAGAGGACGCATGTGCAGTGAGGGGCTGGCCATGCCTCTTTGGAGTGATGTCTGAAAGCCACCATCCAGGGGCAAAGGGCCCTTTTCCCTGGGGACTGTGGACATGACAGGTGGCGGGGCGGAAGGCGGAAGGGGGCCTGGGCAGGGGTCTGGTGGGGGTGGGCCTTATTCTCAGGGCAGCAGGATCTGCCCCAGGTCTGCAGAGGGCAGGGAGGCAAGATGAGCACCCAGAGACCGAGGGAAAGAGGGTGGGGGCCGAGCCGCAGTGGCTGTCTGCACCCTCTGGCCCCCGGGCAGTGAAACCCCAGCCCCTTGCGGTTTGGCCTTGGGTCCAGAGCCAAGGCGCATGTCTGGAGAGCCTGTGTGGCTTCAGAGCAGGAATGACTAGGTGCCCAGGGCACATCCCTGGCTGGCCTCCAGGGAGGGCTGTGGGTCAGCTGGTCACCAGATCCTGGCCATCTCAGCGTGGGCGTCTGGCTGCTGGGCTTGGGTCAGGTGCCATAACCCAGCCCCCTCGTCAGATGGCTGGGTCCCCACTGAATGGTTTCCTGTGTCAAAAGCCTGAAGCGCTGGGCTTGTCAGGGCTTGGTGACAGGTTAAGAGCCACCCCTTGCATGGACAACAAGGGGGCCACTGCCCAGGACAGGTGTTGACCCCTTCATTGGGTCAAGACTCGCCTCTGCCACAGGACGCCCCTGCCTCAAGCCCCCACAGTGGGGCTGTAGCGTATTCATGATCAGGAAGCTGCCTGGAGACGGGATGGCTGAGCATGCAGCCCCGCCTGGTGGCTCATTAGTGGCTGGGCCTCCAGGGCCCTCTTGGCTGTGCAGAAATGGGGTTAAGCCCTTGCGCCCGTTCCCAGGAGGCCAGTGGGGCAGTAGGCCTTTGGGAAGGAGGTTCCCCAGTTCCTGTGCCAGGAGGAGGTGTCCAGGGTCACTGTAGAAAGGTGGGCTGGCTGTGCACTTGGGCCCCAGGGAAGCCCTTGGAGGCCGGTCCTCTGGATCCCTCCCTGGGGCATCAGAGACGTCCACTGTTGGCCTGTGGTGGGCTCGGGGCAGGCGGTAGGGACAGGGCCAGCTGGGGGAACAGCCTGCCCTTTTCTCCCAGCACAGTGACTCAGACTCAGACCCCGAGTACTCATCCCTGCCGCCGTCCATCCCCAGCGCGGTGCCCGTCACTGGGGAGTCCTTCTGCGACTGTGACAGTCAGAGTGAGGCCTCCTTCTGCAGCAGCCTGCACGCAGCGCACCGGGGCAAGGACTGCCGCTGCGGGGAGGAGGATGAGTGTGAGCACCTGGCGCAGGCCGCCTGGGCTGGCGGGGAGCTCCTGGGCCGGGTGGGGAGGCCCGGCAGGGCTCCGAGGCTGCCCTAGCCTGGGCCTGTGGCTCCCACAGATTTCGACTGGGTCTGGGACGACCTGAATAAGTCCTCGGCCACTCTGCTGAGCTGCGACAATCGGAAGGTCAATTTCCACATGGAGTACAGCTGTGGCACGGCGGCCATCCGGGGCACCAAGGAGCTGGGGGAGGGCCAGCACTTCTGGGAGATCAAGATGACCTCACCCGTCTACGGCACCGACATGGTAAGTGGCCAGCTGGGTGGGGGGAGCTGCTGGGCGCCCTAGCCCCGGGCCCCCTCTGCCCGCCTGTTGTTCCCAGATGGTGGGCATTGGGACGTCAGACGTGGACCTGGACAAGTACCACCACACGTTCTGCAGCCTGCTCGGCAGGGACGAGGACAGCTGGGGCCTCTCCTACACGGGTGCGTGGGGCCCCAAGGGCAGGCAGGGCTGGGCAGGGCCCTGAGGCAGGAGGGCTCACCCTGAGCCTGCTGCCCCCAGGCCTCCTCCACCACAAGGGCGACAAGACGAGCTTCTCCTCAAGGTTCGGCCAGGGCTCCATCATCGGGGTGCACCTGGACACCTGGCATGGCACGCTGACCTTCTTCAAGAACAGGAAGTGCATAGGTGAGGGCGCCCGCGGCCCATGGAGACCGCACACCTGCTGCCGAGGCCCCGAGGGAAGTGCACACGGGGCCCGGGCTGAGCACCCCGAGGCTTCTGAAGGGCTGTCCTCGCAGAGGCCTGAGGTCCCAGGGTCCCCAGTGGGTTGGACAGCACAAGGGCCGGTGGGAATCCTGGCGTCCTCAGTTACCTTAGGAGGATGTGCCCCTTCTCTAGGGGTGGCGGCCACCAAGCTGCAGAATAAGAAGTTCTACCCGATGGTGTGCTCGACGGCGGCCAAGAGCAGCATGAAGGTGATCCGCTCGTGCGCCAGCATCACCTCCCTGCAGTACCTGTGCTGCTACCGCCTGCGCCAGCTGCGGCCCGACTCGGGGGACACGCTCGAGGGCCTGCCGCTGCCACCTGGCCTCAAGCAGGTGCTGCACCACAAGCTGGGCTGGGTCCTGAGCATGAGCTGTGGCCGCCGCAAGTCCCCGGCACCGTCGCCCAAGGCCTCGGCCGGTCCCAGCAGCCCTGAGACCCGGCGCTGCCAGAGGAAGCGCTGTCGACGGACCTAACTTATCTTCCGTGGAAACTGCCTTCCGCAGCCGCAACCAGAGCCGGGCAGAGTCGTCTCGGCCCCTGCCTCCAGGCAACAGGAGAGGGAGGAGTGGAGCTGAGCTGTCTTCGCTGTTCCTCTGCCGCCGAGGCTGGGACAGGCCCTGTGACCCAGAGACCAAGGCTGTCCAGTCCATCTGCTTCCTGGGACAGGTGCAGGGCCTCCTGGGCACAGCGCTCTGGCTCTTGGGGACTCAGACTGCGGGCCCGGGCAGCTGGGCCCAGAGGCTGTGCGCTGCCGCCGAGGAGGACGGCCTCGCCGGAGGCCAGCTTTTCCGTCGCTGGCAGCCTCGGGTCTTTCTTAACTTGCTTTGCATGTTGTCAGCTGCCGTTCCTCCCTCCGAGACTGAAGTGACGGTAATAAACTCGGTTTGCGTCTGGCACCCACGTGGCAGTAGAGTTAAAGCAGCCCCTCCCGGGCGCACAGGTGCCCTGGCTTTTCTCCCGTCGGGTCTGGTTGTGTCGCAACACCTTTGAGAGGAGATGGCCTTGTTCTCTTCTCTCTCTCGAGACTTCGTCTTACTGCTTCTCTCTGAAGGTGCCACCCCCAAGTCTCCAGGTGACCAGCGTTTGTCCCCCCAGTGAGGACCTTGGGCACTCCCCAGCCCTTCCTGACCATCCCAGTTGGCCACCAGTCTCACGGCTAATGTGTACAGAGCCCAGGGTACACGAACCCCACCCCACACTCTCCAGATTCTCCAGCTGGTTTGGCGTTTCCTGGTGAGAATTGCCTCTTCTGCTCATCCGTTATCCAAGAGCTTTCCCTGCTCCCCTCCCCTGGTGCCTCCTGGTTTTGGGTCAGTCCCCAGGGTGGGTTGTGTTCTGTCCAGCGGGAGGCGTTGTCAGGAGCCCAGGTCCAGCAGGAGGTCAGGGTCAGTGGTAGTCAAGAAGAGGTAGATGCGGCGTGAAAGGTCAGGCCCCACCCTCCGGGGCCGCACACCCTCACCCGCCTCCACGGGGAGGTCCGCCAGGAGGGCCAGGCGCTCCTGCTCCGTGCTGCAAGCTGCATATGCCTAAGACAGGCACGAGGATGAACAGGGCAGGCCTGGAGGACCTGGCCTCCATACCTGGGGGCTGGGAGTGGGCTGGGGACCCACCTGCTGCAGAAGGCGAGGGGAGGGGAAGGCGGAGACGACAGCCTCGGCCACGGCCGGGCTGACCCGGTTGAACTGTGTAATCTGCCGCCGCCAGGCCCCCCGCAGCCCTGTGCCATCTCTTGCTACTTGCTCGCCTGCGGCCCAGCGCCCTGCCACGCAGAAGGAGAAGGCTTGGGACTCCCGGTGCTGCCTGCAAATGGGCACGGTTGTAGGGAGGTGTCCCTTCTGCGCACCCAGCCCCCCAGCTCAGCAAACCTCTCAGCCCTCTCTGCCCTTAGAGGCCTTCCGTACTCCTGTCCCCGCTCCCACTGCAGCCACCAGCCAGGGTGGGGGTCACGCACCGGAAGGGGCGCTGGGCGAGGCCCTTGGTGAAGGCGCACACGTGCTGACTCAGCTCCTGCCAGGAGGCCACCAGCAGCACGTCCAGGTTCGCCCAGAGCTGTAGGAGCACCAGGGCCTGAGGAGGAGACTTGCCTGTGGGTGTGGCTCAGAGGAGAGCTCCCCTGGGGGACACCCAGCTGAGACCAACCCTGTGTGTGACCCTGGGACCAACCCCAGCCCCTGCTGGGCCTTAGAGAGCAGCCCAAGCGCCTGGGTCAAGGCCAACCACTTTACCCAACCCAACCAGCCTCACCTCCTCCACCTCGGGCCACCCGACTGCAGGCTCAGCACAGGCCACCGCTGGATTCTTTGGTTGCCGCATCTCCTGGGTGCTGGGCTGGCGGGACCTGAGCAGAGATGACTGTCCCTCCAGCTCCCCACACCCTGTCCGTCCCACCCTCCTTGAGTTTTCCTGCTTCCCCTAGAGCCCACCCGGAGGAGGTGGCTAGCTGTCACAGCAGTCTTCAAAGCCACCCTTACCTTTCCCCCGAACTCCCCCGTCCCAGTGAGGCCTGCTAAGGGTGTTAGGGGACCAGTACCACAGGTAGGCGTCCAGCCCGATGACAGCCAGGTGGGGGCAGGCATGGCTCTCAGGAGGGACCCAGGGCACTGAGCAGGTTGGGCCACAGATCTGCAAGCCGAGAAGGGTTACTATGCGTGTTGTTCTGGGCTGTGGCAGGCGGGGGCCACAGGCCGCCAGGCCACCACCAGTTTCCAGAGAGAAGAGGAACAAGGCCAAGAATGACCCAGTGGTTCTGGGAGGAGACTGGAGTGGACTCCCTCTGCTCAGCCAGCTCTCTTTAAAAACCAGCTTTGTGCATCCTGTAAAGCTAAGGGGACAGACAACCCACGAAAGCTGATGGGCAGGTCCCAGGCTCCTAGAAGAGCTGGACTGAGAACCACCCCCATTCCTGGTCCACCTCTGCCCCTAGCCTGGCATTTGCCTGCCATACATCAAGTGCTCCATAGATGCCGAGCCTGAGACACTAGGATCCGGCAGAAGGTCTAAGCTAATGCCACTCTGGTGGCATCATCAGCTGAGCAGTCCCCATTTCTCCTCCAGCCAGGTGGAGGCTGTGTTGTCAGCTGTCACAAGTGGACCGCAACCCGCAGCCCTAGTCCACAGCTTCACCAGTTTATCACCTCTGAGTTCTGACTCAGCTTTTCAGAGGACCCTCCTCATTCTGGCTTCTGGCTTCTAGAAGCAACAGTGGCTCCCCTCTGCTCCCAGGCCAAGAGCCCAGCTGGCTTTCCCCATCTCACCCAGAACATCTGGTGGTTGCTGACCACAGAGGCGCCCCAGCCCACCACATGCCCTCTCCCGCCCCTCCCTCCTTGAGCATGGACTGGCAAAGAGTGCGTGTGGCCGGGGACCCAGCTGCTCACGATTTGTGGAGAAGTTCTACTGCCCCCATGTGAGTACCTGGGTCAGCTGGACGACACCCTGCAGAAACTCCTCGGGCTCCAGCAGCAGCAGGAGGTCCTGCTCATCTGCAGCCCACACCTCAGGAGGCACCTGTGGGGACATCCAGGGGCACGGCTGCCCACCCCCAGCCCCGCATGCTCCAGGGCCTCCGTCTGGGCACCCCAGCAGCTTTGAGGCTCCATCAGGACTGCGCTACAGAAGCCCAGTGTTCTGACTCCAAGACCAGCCCAGGATGCAGCTGAGTTCAGGCTCTGGACCCCAGCCCTGCAGCGTACCAGCAGAGCCACTTGGGTGTCACCAGCTCAGTGTTCCCCGTTCCTAGCTTACTGGTCTGGAGAACACACCCCCCCACAGCTGCTGTCTTTCAGGACCAATGCCTCGTGTGAAACCACAGACAGAAAACACGAACCCAGGCTGCACTCTGTAAACCCAGAACATGGGGCTGCTGGTGGCAGTAACCCGGGATACTCACACTGCGGGGGCAAGGGTCTGGCTTCACTCTGCACCACCTGAGGCTCCGGGCCGGGCACTGGGGCTCCACTTGGTACTCACAGCCCAGGGTGCCCAGGGCCTCCATCAGGATGTCGGCGCCAGCATCTTCCAGGATGGCTGGGATGGCGGGAGAGACAACTGTCACTCCTTCCTCCCCCTACGTGAAGACACTAGCGGGGAGGGGGAGACAGCAAACCCACAGCTTGGCCGGCGCGGTACAAACACCCTGATTAACAAACACACCGGCTCCCAGGGTGCAGATCGGGCCACATGGCCGAGTCTGTCTCTTAAGCCAGCTCCCCAGGCGGGAAGGGCCGCCGATTCCGGGCCAACTGCGGCCTCGACGGCAGCCCCGCCCGCAGTTGGGCCGGACAAGCGCGCAGTGAGCACGGCCCGGGCTCCGGCGCCCCCCAGGCCCCGCCCCCGCCTCGGCCCGGGGCTCCCCTCGGCCCTGGCACCTGGGTCCACGCGCACCACCAGGCGCCGCACGGCCTGCTCGGGCCGCAGCAGCCGCAGCGCCTGGGCCGCCGCCCCGCGCTCCTTCGCCGGGGCCCGGGCCCTCGCGGCGGCCTCCGAGTCGGCTTCCGAGCCGGCGGGGTCCTCGGCGTCCGAGTCTGAGATCTCCCAGGTCGGGGGCCGCCGCTGGCCCCGGCCCCGGCGCGAGCCCCTGGCTCTCCCGGGCCCGACCCTCGCCATGGCCAGCCCGGCCTCTCCGCCGCTTCCGGTCGCGCCGGACGCCTTGTCGGGGACACCGGGCGCTTCCGGCGGCGGGCGGGGCTGGCGGCGGCTTCCGGCCGGAGCGCGGCGGCGGGCGCGGCCATGGCGCGGAAGAAGGTGCGGCCGCGGCTGATCGCCGAGCTGGCCCGGCGCGTGCGGGCCCTGCGCGAGCAGCGGGAGCGGCCGCGCGACTCGCAGCGCTACGCCCTGGACTACGAGACGCTGACGCGGCCGCCCTCGGGCCGCCGGCTGCCCGCGCGGGCCTGGAGCGACGCGCGCCGCGAGAGCCGCCTCCTGCAGCTGCTCGGCCGCCTGCCTCTCTTCGGCCTGGGCCGCCTGGTCACGCGCAAGTCCTGGCTGTGGCAGCACGACGAGCCGTGCTACTGGCGCCTCACGCGCGTGCGGCCCGACTACACGGCGCAGGTGCTGCCCCGTCTCCGCCCCGCGCCCCGCCCCGCGGGCGCCGCCACCTCCCCCGCGCGCGGCTCTGGGCTGGGGGTCTCCGGCCGCTGAGCTGGGGGCGAGCGAGCTCTCTGAGCTGATTCCCTCCCCACTTGCTTTGCAGAACTTGGACCACGGGAAGGCCTGGGGCATCCTGACCTTCAAGGGTAAGGCGTGGGAGACCAGGTGGGGGCTGCTGGCCACAGACCGTCCCGCGAGTGTGTGCGGTGAACCCCGGCCTTCTTTCCCCAGGAAGGACGGAGAGCGAGGCTCGGGAGATCGAGCAGGTCATGTACCACGACTGGCGGCTGGTGCCCAAGCACGAGGAGGCCGCCTTCACGGCTTTCACGCCGGTGCCCGAGGACACTCCGCGCTCTGTGCCCTACCCGCCCCTCCTCCGGGCCATGATCCTAGCAGAGCGACAGAAAAACGGGGACAGCAGCACCGAGGAGCCTATGCTGAATCTGGAGAGGGCAGGCATTGGTCCCTGGGACTACCCTGCGAAACAGAAGGCGAAGAGAAAGGCCAAGGGCACCCCCGTCTGAAGTGCCCGAACCGGGAGGCTGCCTGAAGGGTGTGAGCGGCAGGCACCCTTTTTGATGAAAGAAAATGTCTTTGGACGATGCCTACATCAGCTCCTCGGGAGCTTGGACCCGACCTCCCAGGGGCTTGTTCTGAGGCTCTGCGTTTTGGTGGAAAGGGGTCAGGCCAGACTCTGCATCTGGCCTCTGTCTCTGCTGACCCAACACTCAGTTCGGACCGAGGGGGCCACGCGGGAGGCGGCCGCTGGGGCAAAGCTGGAAGCAGCGGGGCCAGCAGGTGTGGAGGCCCCGCGCTGGCACCTGTCACTACCAGGCGGCCTCCCCTTCCGCATTACATCTTGCCTCTGCCAGGATCCAGGCAGAAGCTGTGAACGCGAATAAAAGCAAATGAAGTAGCCCTGGGTCGTAGTTTGTTTGAGTTGGGGGCTCGGGGACGTAGCACGTTCTCTGCAGGACTGTGGGGAGGGGAAGGCAGACTCTGGTGCAACTGGCCAGGTGGTGCGAGGTGGGCCGAGCAGGCGCCCTGTGGCTGGGGAGGCCTGAGCGGACCCCATGGCCACAGCGGGGCTGGGGTGGGCCTGGAGGACCGGTAGCGCCTCGCAGAGGAAGCGGCAGCGCCGGGCGTCCGGGGACCGAGGGGTCTGGCCGCGGCCCCTTTAAGCGCAGAGCCCGCCTCTCCCGGGCGCACCGCCCCGCCGAGCCCGCTGCGAGCCGCCGCCGCCGCCGCCGCCATCATGATCTGCCTGGTGCTGACCATCTTCGCCAACCTCTTCCCGGCGGGTGAGCGGCGCGGGCCGGGGCGGGCCGGGGATCAGGGGGCGGCCGGGCCTGACGCGCCGCCCCGCGGTCCCTGCAGCCTGCGGCGGCGTGCACGAGCGCACCTTCCTGGCCGTGAAGCCCGACGGCGTGCAGCGGCGGCTCGTGGGCGAGGTGGTGCGGCGCTTCGAGAGGAAGGGCTTCAAGCTGGTGGCGCTGAAGCTGGTGCAGGTGAGGGCGGGGCGGGCGGGGCGGGGGCGCGCGGGCGGGCGGGCGGCAGGGGTCCCAGGCGCACCCGGCCCGTCCCCTCCCTCCCCAGGCCTCCGAGGAGCTGCTGCGCGAGCACTACGCCGAGCTGCGCGAGCGCCCCTTCTACGGCCGCCTGCTCAAGTACATGGGCTCGGGGCCGGTGGTGGCCATGGTGAGTGCCGGCCACCTGGCGGGAGGGCGGGCAGTCCCGGCCCGCGCTGACCCCGCCCCCGCCCGCAGGTGTGGCAGGGGCTGGACGTCGTGCGCGCCTCGCGGGCGCTCATCGGCGCCACGGACCCGGCCGCCGCCCCTCCCGGCACCATCCGCGGGGATTTCTGCATCGAGGTCGGCAAGTAAGGCTGGCCCCCGGGACGTTCTTAGCCCGGTCCCGACATCCCCAGCTGCGCTGCGCGGGCCTTGCCCGAGCTCCGCCCGCGCTCACGCGCGCCCCTCCCGCGCAGGAACGTAATCCACGGCAGTGACTCGGTGGAGAGCGCCCGCCGCGAGATCGCGCTCTGGTTCCGCAGCGATGAGCTCCTGTGCTGGGAGGATAGCGCCGGGCACTGGCTGTATGAGTAGCCGGGCCTCGGGGGCCGGGCCTCCAGGGCAGATGTGCGCTCTCTGAAATAGGCTGTGAATGATTCAGCATCCTCCGGACCCCGGAGGCGGTGCACACATCCTCTTCCCCTGGGAGCTCAGAACACCCTTCCTGCGGTAGCAATCACAGCTCCCCTTCACGACCTCCAGGGGCGGGTGGGTGCACGCCCCACCAAGCCCTGGCATGTCACGGGCCTTTCTGCGGGGGAAGCGACTCAGGAGCCCAAGCCCGGACTGCACTGTTAACAGCACGCCTGGAAATGCATGGTGGCACTGACCCAGCTTGTTTCAGCGTTTTTTTTTTTTTTTTTTTTTACAATAAATTCAAGAAAGCTCTTCTGTATACGGTGGTCTGGGCCCAGAGACACAGAGGGATGATGTTAAGACATTTATTACATACAGAGCAGATACGTGGGTTCGCTTGCAGGGCCCAAGCCTGAGGAGAATCATCACCCAGCCCCTTCCCCCAGCTGCACCCACCTGGCTAACCCCCAAGTCACTTCACGGCCCTGTGGGAACAGACAAGGGACCTGATGGACGTCACAGTGGAGAGTGGCAGGGCGGTGGGAAGAAGCCTGCAGCTGCACGTGGCTGCTGCGGTGTCCAGCTGGGCTTGTGGGATGGCTGCCCAAGATCTGTGCTTCTCTGGTGGGAGGAGGTGGGTGGGCAGCAGGGCCTGGGGCTGCCCTGATCAGTGCCTCTGGGAGCAGGAGTAAGGCCTGGGCAGGTGGCGGCGGTGGCAGTCCAGGGCGGCGCCCTCTGAGCAGGGGGCACACACACCCAGAGCCGGCTGGAGGCGGCTCCTGTCCTTAGCCCTTAGGGCCTCTGCACTGCAGCCTGTGCCAGCTGCCCTCAAGGGAGCAGGCCACACCTCTAGCCCTAGGCACTTAGTAGTGTGTCTTGGGAGCTGGGCTCCTTTGGAGACCTTGCAGGAGGCAGGCCATGGAGCACATCTTCCCTGTCACCCTGAGGCTGAGCCTGCATCCTAGGACTGACCCCAGGAGAGGCCAGAGGCCTCCCCTTCTTCCTGAGGCCTGGGCCTGCCCTGACAGCCTGAGAAATTCCACCCTAGGGGCTTCTGGGAGGGGCAGAACTCCAGGACCTGCTCCTGTAAGGTGGGTCTTCTGCCCAGGGACAGTGAGGGTGGGGTGGGGTGGGGTGGGGTGGGGGGGACGACTGGACAGACATGGGTCAGTGAAGGTCAGCGCGAGCCTGCCACAAGGAGGGTCATGGGGCTCGAGCGGGGTGAGGGCATCTGTCTCTGTCTTCTCGAGCAGCTGCCCCAGGGAGCCTGGTGACGTGCTTTCATGCCAGTTCCCGGGGTTGCAGGGAGCAGGGTGCGGGAGCCCAGGGAAGGCTAGCGGCTCGGCTGGCTCCCCTAAGGTCAGACCTCTACCCCCATGGGCAGCAGGCAAGTGTCTCGAGGGGGAAGACGGGTGGGGGTGAAGTCCCTGCTTCCTGCCCTGGGGGTCCTGGAGTGAGTGACAGGAGTGGGGACCAGGGTGGTGCTAGGAGCTGCCTGCAGGGCCTTCCCCCAGCCCGACACCCCCAGGATTCTGCCTCGCTCTGGCCTTGAAGTGTCCTGGGGACTACGTTGGGCTGGGTGCCGGCCAGGAGCTGCTGGGGAAAGGGTGTCCCGAGAGGCTCTGCCCCTCCCTGGTGAGAAGGCCACCCCGCGCCCCGGCCGCCCTCCCAGCCAGACCCGCTGCTGCCCCCTGCCAGCTCGCGGGGAGGTCTGGGCCGAAGGTGAAAGCTGCGGGTTGAGAGGTTAGAGGGGTGGACAGGCGCCTGGCTGCCTGCGGGGCGGCGGTGGGCGGTGGGCGGGCATATGTACACGTTGGCAACGGTGGGTGGGGGAGGCGGCAGCAGCCTCACTCGGGGGTGTAGGACACCTGCCACACGATGATGTGGCTGCGCTCGGCCTTCGACAGCATGGGCTTCACCTGGCTCACGTCCCCTGCACTCTCCTCCGTCTCGTCGTCCTCTCCATCGCCTGGAGAGACAGCGCAGCGGCGTGATGGGCAGCCCTGCCTGGGAACACCTGGGGTCCGCGGGTGGTGCCCACTCACCGATGCGGAAGTCGATGTAGCCCTCCCCGCCGCTCAGCACCAGCACGTTCCTCAGCTTCTGGCCCTCGGCCTCAGAGCCAGCGGCAGGCCCGGGGCTCTCCGACGGGCTGTCGAGCACGCTGCCGTTGAGAGTGGCCAACACGTTCCCTGTCATCGGGGCACAGGGACCTCAGCGGGGCACCCAGGGCCCCCACGCAGGCTCCTGAAGGGAGGCCACAGCTGCAGCCCCGCAGGCGGTGGGCCCCACCCTCACCTGGCACTGAGACAAAGAATTTGACGGCGTCTCGGTGCCCGTGGAAGCAGAGCTGGGCCTGGGCCATGGAGCAGTAGGGAATGAAGCTGCTGGCTGATTTGTCACTGCTGTCGTCGCCATACACGTGGATGACGCCCCCTGGGCGGGCCCCCTCCCCAGACGTGGGCGATGTCTTGTTGGCTGGAGAGAAAGGGGCGGGGAGAGGCTGAGCCCCTGACTGGGAGAACCGCACTTCCCGCGGGGGAGGGCGGCGGGGGGCAGGAGAGCACCCCCGGAGGGGCAAGGCCAGCCTCAGCCCTCAGGGTCTCTCTGGCCAGGCAGGGGCTTCCTTCTGAGAGCAGGAGGCGCAGGTGCTCTGAACTTACCTCGGAGCCCCAGGAGCTGGCCTCGGTGCAGGACCACAGCTGAGGGAGGCGGGCGGCAGAGCAGGGAAGAGACAGGAGAGAAGTGGTCACAGGAGGGGCGAGCTGAGGACGGCTGCGGCCAGGGCAGCCTGGTGTCCTCCTCAGTGTGGCCTGGCAGAGCACATCTGCCCCTGGGACTCTGACACTTGCCCCTTAGTGGCGGCCATGGCCATCTCTGCAGATGTCTGGGGGGGGTCACTCACTCTCGGTCAGCGGGATAGAGATGACGACTCCATTGCCGGTGCCCACCCACAGGCGGTTGCCCGCAATGAGCAGGGCTGTGATGCGCACGAAGGAGAAGCCCAGCTTGCCTGTGCCTGGGGGGCAGGGAGGTGGGGTCAGCGGGGCCAGGGTGGGGGCCACCCTACCCGCTCGCCCTGCCCGCGCAGGCCTCACCCAGCATCTTGCTGACGTAGGGCTCGATGTCCACGTCCTGCAGGTGCTGGTGGGTGTGGGCGTGGTAGAGCCGCAGCGTGGAGTCCAAGCGGATGGACACCCACACCCCATCGCCGATCCACGCCAGCTGCCGCACCTGGCTCTCCCGCCTTGGGTGGGCATCAAATGACTTCTGCGGGGTCACGGCAGCCCGTCAACAGGGGCGGGGCAGAGGGGGACGCCTGAACCTGCCACAGCCAAGGCTTCACCCCGACATCCACACAGTTCACTGCACCCCTCCTCTAGTGCCAGCTTTGCTCCTGTGGGTCCAGGCTCCTGGGAGGAGCCCCTGCCACTGACTGGCACCCTCACCCACAGCCAGGTGGCCAGAGGAGGCGTGTGGGGCCCACGTGGGTGTTGGTCTCATTTGTTTCAGGGCGAAGCAGTGGTGGGTTCCAGACAGACTGGCTCACAGCCCACCTGCCCTCTGCTGGCGCATGACCCTGGACAGATGAGTCACTTCCCTGAGTGTGTTTCCTTTGACCCCACAAAGCCCCCAACATCTATTGGAAGGTGGCTAGGAGCGATGTTGGCCAGCAGGGCCCCGTCCCTCCCGGAGCCCTGGCCGCCAGCACTCGCCTCGATCTGCATCGTCTTGGGCTGGATGACGTGCACCTTGTTCTTGTAGCCGCACCACACACGGTCGTACACGACAGCCATGCAGCGGATTGAGTGGTGGGGGTGGCCCAGGTCCATCAGGTGATAGTTGCTCAAGTCCCACTGGCCGTCTGCAGAGAGCCCACCAGCCTGCTCAGGCCTGGCCTGGCCCACCTCTGCTCACGGTGCAGGGTGGCCCACACCCTGCCAGCACTGTCAGATGCTGCCCAACCACCTGGTGCCACCAGGCCTCACCTTCACCTCGGTGGAAGATGGCCAGAGTCCCATCTGCCAGAGCCACCAGTACTCGTCCTTTCACGTGCCTGGAAAGGGAGGGAGGTGAGCCAGGTGTGGGCTGGGCCGCCCCTGATGCCCAGCCCGGGCTGGGGAGCACATACACCAGGCTCAGAACCGAGTCCTTCAGCTTGATGGAGTGCAGACACTTCTTCCAGTTGGCCACGGCGGAGTGCACGTAGAGCCTGCAGGAGGAGGCCGGCAGTGGGCAGAGGGCTCGCCCAGGGGACCTCCCTCACCCCTGCCCCCAGGGCCCCGTCTACCAGCCGTTCTGGGCTCCCAGCCACATGGTGGGTGCGGCACTGCTGCTGGCCCCCGCAGGGTCTCCGCTGGGCTCCGCCTCAGGTTGCACCCCACTCGCGTCGGTCTCCAGCCCATTCTCACTGTGGGAAGGATGGTGGCTCCAGGGCGGCCCGTGGAAGCCTGTCCCGACCCACCTCTGCCCGTCTCCCCTCCCCTTTGTCTCTGCCCCATCCTGAGAGCACCCACCTGCCAGGCTGGGCACTGGGGGGCTGGGTCGGGGCCGGGTCTGTGAAGACGTGCTCCGTGAGGGGCCCAGGCCGCACTACAGCTGTGTCTGCCTCACTGGGCCCAGAGTCTGGCACCTCGGTGGCCTCCGTGGCCTCCTCCGTGGACTGAGATGGGTTGACCTTCCCATTGGCAACAGCAGCTACCTCCCCTGTGGACGGGAGGGCTGAGCTTGGCTGAGCAGGGGAGGCACGAGGGGGCAGAGAGAAGGTGGCCGCTTGGGCCCAGGACTCACCCTGGCCCTTGTCCAGCACTGGGGTGTCCCCTCGGGAGGAGCAGTTGCTGCGAGGCACGTTGCAGCGGGTGGCGCAGCCCACCAGGGTGATGCCGGCCAGCACACCGTCGGCACTGGAGTCCTCAGGGTTCATGTCGCTGTCCAGGAAGATCTCCCCTGGAGGATAGTCATTGTCGCTGGCCGCTGGGGGGAGAGTCACAGCTCTGTCACCCCATGCTGAGCAGCCCCTACTGTAAGACCACACCCAGAGCTCATGTGCAGGTGGGGGTGCAGGGGGAGGAGACGGAGGCCACCTGCTGATGCCATCCTATCTCCTTCTAATCCGGTGAGCGTTACATCAGGGTCTTCTCCTATGTTGCTAACAAGACTAAGCAGGATAAGACAGCGCCAGGGAGCTCCTCCCTGGACACGCCCCGCAGGCTGTGTGTCCGCAGCATGTCCAGAAGGCAGGTGCTGCTCTGCGGGCCTCCTTACATCCTAGTCATCCCCCTCTCCTGGGCGGCGGCTCGCACATGGGGCTGGCACTCACCGGGGATGCTGGAGATACACAGGACATGGGCGTTGCAGACGGTGAACTGGTCCACGACGGTGCCCGGCTGGTTGGCATCGATGATGACCACTTTGCTGGTGGTCAGGGTGCTGGTGAGGACCCACACTCGGCTGGAGGTGGCATCCGTCTCAGACAGCTCCTTGGCCTGTTTCAGGGCACAGGCTACTCCAGCAGCAACACGGGGTCGGGGGGCCTCTCAGGGTCTCTCAGGATCTAGCTTAGCCCACAGCCTCAGGGGACATGGCTGAGCTCCCACGGCCAGGATGGTGGGAGCTCAGAATTGCACTCTGTATCTGGATGGCTGGCACACAGTCTCACTTCCACAGAGGAAAAGCCTGAACTGCAAGCAGGTAAGTCTCTGACCTCCAAAGCAAGCGGTGACATAAAACGAGGCCTTGGACACCCCCCAGGTGAGAAGCATTTTCCGCCACCCTCCTGTGCTCAGCCCATGGCCCTGCTCCTCTGCAGGTCAAGACATGTGCTCCTCACAAAAAGACAAGCACCCGAGGGACCTGGGCCCGGCCCTCCTGTCCGCTGGATCCGGCCCGGCCCCTTGGAGGCCCAGGAGGGGGGAACTAGACAGCAGCTCAGCCCCTGGCCTGCCATGGGGAGGGGAAGGGAGCCCCACATGAGCCCAGTCCCGTGGCACTGTCCCCAGCTGTCCTGTCTGTCACCCAACCCAGACTCTGGCGAGGGGCAGGCCCCAGCTGGCCTGTGGCTCTGACCTTTTTCTTCTCGGGAGACGTGTGGTTGCTCTTGGTATCTCCTTCTGCTTCCCGGTCGCAGGTAAGAGGGTCACGGCCAGGTGCGGGTTTGACTCCCTCCCCAGAGTCATCCTCACTGGGTTTCCAGCCACTCAGGTTGACCCCCGCGGCACACCACAACTGAGAGGACAGGGCCATGAGAGCCAGGAGCCTGCTCCGCTCTGCCAGCCCACCGAGGGCCTCCCCCAGCTTCCCAGACCTGCCTGGATGCAGCTTCTGGCTGAGACCTTTCCCTGCCTCGCCCTTCCCTGTGGCCCTGAGTCCTCAGGCTGGGCTCACCTTCATGGTCGGGTCCTTCTCCACCAGAGGGCGGCAGTACACGGGCACAGGCACGTTCTTCATCCGCGTGTCCTCCTGGCCCCCATTGGGACTCAGCTGCAACCACAAGGCAGAGGGGCTGTGGGCAGGAGGCCTGGGGCAGGGCAGGTGCGTGGGGCGGTTCAGCCACCCTCTCCTTTAGAATCAGGGCTGGGGCTGCGGGCCTGGGCAGGGAGCGGGATCTCTGCGGGGGGGCGGCGGGAACGCTGCTGGGGTCCCCAGGCAGCGCCCCATCTGCAGCGCCCAGGCCAGGCTGAGGGGGGTGGGCGCCAGTCTGGCCCCGCCCCGCGCCCCGCCCCGCCCCGCCCCCGCGGCCGCGCCGGGCAGCACCTGCTTGTACTTGGCCGGCAGGCTCCAGCCGCAGGCCTGCAGCCGCCCGTCGTCGTTGCGCACGTGCTCGCGCACCTGGCGGTACTGCTCGCGCTTCTGCTCCCGCCGGGCGGAGGACGTGCAGTCGCTGGGTGGGAGGAATGATAGGTGACTTCTGTCTGCAGTGACCCGCAGTCCCGCCCCACAGGGAGCGCGCCCGATGTCTCGGGAGCTCCCCGTCCTGGATCTGGACGTGGCTTCTGCCCATCGGGCACCCGTCTGACAAAGGGTGGCTCCCCAGCACTAGGTGTGGATGCCACGTCGGGCGCTGCCCTTGTCCAGGTGCCTGTTCTGCTGCTGCCGTCACCAAGGGCCAGCTGGCAGGGACCCTCAGTGCAGCCTCCCCTCCCCTGGGGCCCCTCTGGGGAAACTTCCACAGGCTTCTGACACAAGGCTCCAAAATCCCCACTTCTGCCCTGGAGCCAAATTCCTGGTTTTAAAACTGAGGAAAACACAAAATTCCAAAGAGAAACTTATTCCCCAGGAAGAAACTCAACCCTGCGGGAGTCCCTGCAGAGCAGAGGTGTGCCAGCCAGCCGGGGGTGGGCCTGGAGGCAGTGAGAGCCTCAGGGGCAGAGCCGGGATCACGGAGAGCTGGGCAGAGAAGGGACTGCTGGGGAGCGCAGCCTCTGCAGAGGGACAGCCAACGTCCCACTAGCAGGTGGGGGGGGGCGCGGTGTGGGCATGGAAGGGTCATGACCCCTGATGCCTCGGCCAGCGACCTTCCCACCATGGACCCCGTCCCCCAGCACAGCCCCCAGAGCAGTGACGTGGAGGAGCGTCCTGCTGCAGAGCCTGGAGGGGAGGGGCCCTGGGACACACACCCCCTGTGCAGGGCAGGGGGGGGGGGGGGGGGGGGGGGGGGGGGGGGGGGGGGGGGGGGGGCTGGGAGCGGGGCAGGAGGCTGCGGGACACTCACTCCTCAGGGAAGAACTCCAGGGGCCGGCTGCCGGCAGAGATCTGGCACATGGCATGGCTGCGGCGCTGGCTGAAGCCGGCCGTGGTGGGCGACTTGTAATGGATGTTCACCGAGGGGTAGGACCGCTTAGCAGGAGGGGGGCTGGAGGAGGAGCTGAAGAGGCGGCTGAAGCTGCCAGTGGAGGTACGAGAGGCTCGTAACAGCCCGAGGGGAGCCCTCCCTGTCTTCCCAAAGTGGCTGCTGCCCACACCCCCCAGGTGCCCCCAACTCACAACTGCCAGATGGTGGACTTCTTCTTCTCTTGGACAGATGGGTGCTCCCGGGATGCTCTACAGGGAAGGGGCGAGGGGAGTAGCCAGGCTCGGCCACCACCCAGCCTGACTCTGCCAGCTGGTTGACCACGACCGACTGCCCAGGCTGGCCCGCCTGCTGCCCAGTCTGACCACACCCACGTCCCAGCATGACTTGGCCCTGCCCAGTCTGATCCGGCCCCACTCGCCTCCCTTGCCCGAGACCCTCCCTGGGAATGGAGCTTCAGAGAAGGCCTCGTGGGCAGGTCACTCAGAACTTCCCGGAAGGGCCCCCGCACACAGGCCCCAACATGCCCCAGCCCCACTCTAGCCCAGTGGGCATCCCCCTTGCCAGGCTGGGGGTGCACTGGAGGCCCAGCTCTCCTGGCCCCCGCAGGCTCCTAGTACCCTCCAGTCCTCGCAGAAGAGCGGAACGTGGGGTGGAGACCAACCTCAAGTCCATTGCCAAGACCTTTCATAGCGACCACAGCTCAAAAATGAAGATGGGAGTGCATCTTTGGGACCCTGTGGGCAGCCTCGGGGACCCACCTGATCATCTCAGTCCACCGCACGGCCTCCTGCAGCTCCATCAACCGCTCCTTGTACTGGTTGCGCTCCATGAGCACGCGGGCCATCTCCACCCGCGTGAAGCGGCGGCGCTGTGCCATAGGGATCTTGTCCTGCAGGGGAGAGGTGCTGGTGTTCAGCCAGTGAGGGGCCGGCGAGCAGGTCAGGCCAGCGCCCCCGGAGGCCAGATCACGCCTGGCTTCCTCTTGGGCCAGCCTCCAGGTATGGGCAAATCAGGCGTGGATTTCCCACAGATCCTCAGGCAAACTTGATGGGGAAGGTGTGGCAGGGGGACAGGAGACATGGGAGGGGGAGGGCCCCGCCCCCGACAGGGCCACCTTCTCTCCAGAAGGTCACATGATACACTTGAGTACAACACGGTGATTTTCCTACTAGCCCCTGGACACCTCGGCAATCCCAAGTGCCTCTGGTCAACGTTAACAGCGATACTGTTCCAAGCTGGGATGCCAGGAAGAGAGGTTTTAGGGAAGGTCCAGCGAGCAGGACCTGGGGTCACTACGTCCGCCCAGCTGCACGCTGGAGGTTTTGGTGAATGTGCTTGGGGTCTGCCATTTGCAAGTTCTGTAGCAGGCCCAAGTCTACTCTGAGCAGCTCTGGCCTGGGCTGCCACAGGCCAGGGTGGGAGGCCCAGCGGGGAGCTGCCAGGTGGGGGAGCGGGTACCCAGAGCAGTGGGCGGGCTGGAGGGCTCCCTTGCCAGTGGGCCCCACCACACGGCACAGTTCACAGGTGCACATGCAGCCCCAGGCCCCACACAAGGAGGCCGAGTGCCACATGGGAGGGGCCCTGGGGAGCTCGACAATTCACCTGCAGCTGGGTTTCTCTCTAGAGTTTGAGGTGGAGGGATGTGGAGGTGAGGGGCTCCACAGGATGGGCAAAAGGTACAGCTACTGTTTCCCGAGTGCCTGCTGTGTGACCTGCATCCTGACACGTGCGTCACACAACCCCCAAAAAGACAGAGCTAATGATGGGTGACGTCAATGTCCAAAATTCACCCTGGGCTGCAGACCCGTGCCTGCCCTGTCCTTAGGGAAGGTGGCCAGGTCAGGGGCCCAGCTCTCCTCTGGACAGGAGGGGAAGGGGGCGGTGGTGGGAAGGACAAGGGCCCCACCCCACCCCCACAGCTGCTCCGGGAACAAGCAGTTAGGAAGCCCCAGGGAGTAGAGGGGCAGAGGGCTTTCCTCAGAACATTTCATGCACCTCAGGTGGTTGTGGGGGCAGATGAGGGCCTCAGAGTGCCTCAGGTACCCAGGCTGTTCTGTCTGGGGGACGTCAGTGACGGACACTGTTTCCCAGCCTTGCTCTGCAAGTTGGAGTGTGGGGGACAGTGGCTGGGCCACACAGGCGGGGAGACCCTGCATGGGACCGTGGAAACACATCCACGAGGACCTGGGCTGAGAGGGGCTGGTCTGACCTCACAGTCTTGGGGGCAGGTGATACTGCTGGGCACGATCGTCACATAGGAGGGTGAGGAGGGCCCAGAGACCCGGAATTAGCGCATCCCCGGGGAGCCCGCCCCGTGCTGCCCACCCCCCGTGCCCCACATGTTAATAGTGGAATATACCAATTCTGTACAGAGATAGCTGCTTACATCCTCCACCTCTTCTTTGGGTTCACGGCGGGCGACAATGGCCTCTGACTTCACTCTGCAGGATGAGGAAGAAAGCAGGACAAGGGTGAGGGCCCCTCTGGCCGCTGGCCCAGAGGCTGTGTCCATCTCTTGTCCAGGTTCAGGGCTCTCCCCTCAGGTTCTAGGCCCTGAGCATTCCTGCCAGTACCTTGGAATGGGTGGCCCCACACCCCTGCACACATGTGCCCTGAAGCCCAGACATGCGTCCTGGCTGCTCCAGCCAAGGAACAGGACCTCGGACTCAGGCAGTCAAGTGCTGATGGGAAGGGAGAACAAGCTGCACTCCCGCAGCTGGCTTCAGGCAAGCCCGAAGGCATCTGGCTGCACTCCCACAAACTCTGCACAAGTGCCACCTGCCTCGGGCCTCCTCTCACACCTCCCCTTACCACTCTGAGAGATAGAGAGAGAGAGAGAGAGGGTCAGGTGGGAAAAGAAAGGCCATGGGGAAGTACAGAGTGGTGCGGCAGAGACCCCAGAGCTTCTCAACAGGGCTGCATGGCAGAACCTTGGCCCAGCAGGGGCTGGGGAGCAGAGAGGAGCCAGAGGACCTCGCTTCTCCTGAATGACATAATGGTGTGAGAGCAGCAGGAAGGACACGCAAGACAGGACCCCTGTCCCTCGTCTGGGATTCCCACAAGGATGGTGGAGACGAGGGGGGCAGGGCAGGCGGGCAACACAGTAGCTGGGTCTGGGTAGTCAAATATGAGATGGCACTGAGCGAGGAGAGGGAGGCTGAGCAGTGAGCACATCATGTGAGCCATGTGGGTAGGAATGACCTCTGGGGCGCAGCTGGCCTGAGAGCAGACGCCAGGGTACCATGGAGAGGAGGGGACTGGGCGGGGCTTGACACCCCCCGCCCACCGACGGCCCCGCCCCTCTGGAGCCCCGCTCCCGCACTGGCGGCCCCGCCCCTCTGGAGCCCCACCCTCCGCACTGGTGGCCCCGCCCCTCTGGAGCCCTGCCCCTCCGGGAAGCCCCCGCCCCCCAGCCTCCACTCACCTCCTCAGCTCCTCCTCCAGGTCCTTGATGCGGCTCTCTAGCCTGAGCTTGGCTTGCCTCGCGGCTTCCAAGTCCCCCTTCAGCACCTCCTGCTCCCCAGAAAGCTGGTCCACCTTGGCGATGAGGTCGTTCTTCACCACGTTCAGCGCGTTTCTTTGAAAAGGTAGAAAGACATGACTCTGCGTGAACCGGTGTGTACACCATGTGATGGGGTCTCAAAGGGGTCTGCCCGCACTAGTGTATCTGAGAAGGCACATCCTGGTCCAGAATGGGGTGAAAGGCGGGGACTACGCCATCTTCTCCCCAGGACGGGTGAGTCCAGCTGTGTGGGTCCAGGCCCTCTCCAGGCTGCCCTCCAGGCTGGGCAGACACGGTTGCCACAGGGAGGGCCTGGCCCTGGTGGAGAGCTATCCCAGCATTGTGGCACTGGAGAAGAGCGTTCTTACTTGGTTTCTAGAAGCTGAGAGTTCTCCAGCAGCAGATTCCCCACTTCCTTGCCCATTCCTGAAACAAAAGGTATAGAGGTGTTACCTGTGGCCGTTCAAGCCAGAGGTGGATGCTACCACACCTGCCTCAGAGTAATAGACATCCCTGGGAGTTGGCCCACACCTGGGAGGGCTGATGCGGGAGTATAAGGACCAGAGGCCCAATCTGCAGGAGGACGGGCTGCAAAGGGAGGCCAAGTAGACCCTGGGGAGAGCCTCTGCTGGTCTTCAGGCCGCTCTCCACTCAGCAATGCAGTCAGGATGAACCTGCTGCATGGGCGCCCCGGGGGCTCCTGGAATGGCCTCCACGGGCACTGAGCAGATCTCCACTGCCTGGATGGACGCAGTAGCCCTGGGCTTCTATTCTGGCGCTCAGGGCTGGGTTCCTACAGCTCTCTATGGACATGAAGTCTGGATACCAGCAGGGCCTGGATGGTACCAGTCTGAGCTGACCTCACGGCATCTATGCAGCCACCTTGATCTCTGCCTCCACCCCAGCAGCACTCCTCTTCCCCAAGCCCTGTGGTTTCCAGGTCCGTCATGAAGCAGACCCCTTTCAGAGCTGCACCCCAGGAGAATGGAGGTTGGAGCTGCGGTGATGGGGACAGAGAAGACAGCACAGGACGAAGAGAGCCCCTGGCCAAGGAGATGGGATGGCTCCATGGCAGGCGCGGCCCTCCACCGGGGCTAGGAGCAGCACTGGTGGGACCTGGCCCGGGGTGGTGGGGTCAGCAAGAGGCAGAGGAAGGAGGGGAAGTGAGGAGAAGGACAGCGCTCCCTGGGGCCAGTGCCCACAGGGGCTGACGCAGCTGCTTCTCTGCAACCAGGCACCAAAGAGGACCCCACAGACTCAGCTCTCTGCAGGCATGTCCCCAAAACCCCATAAAACATGGACTCTAATCTTTTAGGACAGCCCCGAGGACCCAAGGTCTGTTCTTCCTCTTCACCTCCCTCCACAGTCTACACTGTGAGACAGGACACACGCACAGGCAATGTGCTCAGCTTAGGGTTCTGCCTGCTGCCTCCACTCTCACTCCTGGCCTCAAGCGTGGCCTGCCTCCCCCTCAGACTGAACGCAGCAGCCACCGGGCTCACCCCAGACAGGCTCAGGGGCTGCGCCCAGGGGCCGGGCCTGCCCTGAGCTTATGGGGGACTCTGAGAGGTCGGGCTGCCCCTCCTCAGCCCGTCAAAGGTCTGCGCTGAGGGGCTTCTGGGGAGTCAGGGTGCCAGCTCAGCATGCCTACTGCAGGCCCGCTCCCCCACCCCAGAAGCTAGGGACCCAGACAGCCCGCGGCCCCTGTTGACCCCACCATGCAGAACAAAGCAAACAGCTCATGAAGCATGAGAAGGTGTCGGGCAGACAGAGGAAGCCAGAAACGGGGAACAGAGACTGAGACAGGGCCTCGGCCTTACCAAAAAAATCATCGCGCACTATGGAGCCGTCCCAGTCCCACGGGAGACGGGCACCAGGGAGCAAGGAGCAGGAGAGAGGGGGAGAGAAAAGAAGCGCATTAAGCCTTGTGAACAGCAGGCGGGAAGTGTTTTAGGGCTCCGTCTCGCTGGGTTAGGGGTGGGCGCGGGAGCGGGTGGGCGGGCGGGGTGGGAGATGGGACGAGCCAGCTACTCCTTCCAGAAAGTTTATCCTTGGAGTTGCACAGGAAAGTGCCAGGCCATGAGCACCTGGGAGGTGAGGTGGGGGTCAGAGCGATGCAGCTGCCACCGCCCCAGTCCTGGGTTGGGAGGGGTGAGGGTCAAGGATGGGAGAAGTCTCTGCAAATGAGGGAGAGCTGTGCCCAGGGACTCGTGCGCCTCTGAGCACACCAGGGAGGCCGCCCTTGGATGGGTGGAGGGCCACTGCGAAGCCAGAAAGCAAGAGCTTGGTCCGTCTGCCATCGTGGGGAGAGGACCCCTGACTTCTGGGGTGCACCCAACAAAGGGGTGACGCTGCAGTACTGGGCCTGCAGTCCTTGTCCAGTTAACTGTCCTAGGCTTCTAACGGCTCCGTAGGACCTTAAGAAATGGCCCTGGGGATCCTCAGCCTTCGAGAAGACAGAGTCAGGGGCACAGCAGTTCTCCCTCAGATGTCAAGGTTGCCGTCAGGGGCTAGTGGAGCAAACCCACATAAGCTTCTGAGCAGCAGGAGGCTGGTGAGCAAAAGCATGTGTGCCTTAGTGCCGGGGACAGAGTCGGGAGGGGACAGCTGCACAGCCAGCAGTGACTGGACAGCAGCAGGGAGTGTCCCAAGGCTGGACGCCCCCCACTCCGTCTGGACGCTGCCGTGGGGAAGAGGGGGCCGCAAACAGACAGGAGAGATACACACCTGAGAACTCCCCTGGGGCCGTGTCCAGCGAAGCACAGAGAGACGGGGGAAAGGAAGTGACAAAGGTCAATTGATGACTGGAACCAACAGAATAAAGAAATTCTTATTAAAGAAAAAGCAACAATGGTCAGCCGTTTTCATGCTCCAAAGCATGACAGAATCCAGCAGACGCCCCCAGCCCAGGGGTGACAGATCCCCACGGGGGCAGAGCCCTGAAGGAAAAGGCAGGCCAGAATGGAAGAGCCCGCAGACCCCAGGGCCCAGAGCACCACGCTCCATGCCGGGGTGGGCATTTCGGATCCTTGCTCGCTTCTGCCAGGGATCTAAAGCCTGCTCGCCCTTGTTCCCATTACCCACCCATCAGGAGGACCAGCCCTCTGCAGACCGGATGGTTAAGGCCTGTAAAGATGAGCGTGCGTGGTTGCAGGTTTGCATGCGTGCATGTGTGTGGTTGCATGTGGGTGGGGTGGGTGGGGTGCCAGGGGCGTCCAGCCTCAAAGGTGCCCCCAGAGTGAGTGAGCTCTGAGTGAGCGGGGCACAGAGGTGGACCCAACCTTGCAGGTCCCCTGGCCAGTTCAGGTCTTATGGGAAGGGCACAATCCCAGGGAAAGGGTGGCCAGAAGACAAGAGGGGAGCAAGGGCTCTACTGTGCGAGGGTTGGGGGAAGAGACACTGAGTCAGAATGCAGAGGCGGGGGCGGGGAGCACGGGGCTGGCACGTGCTGTTCTCTCATGGGTCCAAATCACTCTCTGCTACATAGCTGAAGATTTGATGAGGCAGTGCTGTTGTACTGGATCATTTCACGCAGAAAAAGTCACTCGACTTAAACAACAAAATACACAATTTGTTACAGGAATTCAAATATTAAGAAGTGTACTGGGCCAGCCCCGTGGCCGAGTGGTTAAGTTCGCCCGCTCCGCTTCGGCGGCCCAGGGTTTCCATGGTTCACATCCTGGGTGCAGACACGGCAGCACTCATCAGGCCATGCTGAGGCGGCGTCCCACATGCCACAACTAGAAGGACCCACAACTAAAATATACAACTAGGTACTGGGGGGATTTGGAGAGAAAAAGTAAAAAAAGAGAAAAAAAAAAAGAAGATTGGCAACAGTTGTTAGCTCAGGAGCCAATTTAAAAAAAAAAAAGAAATGTGCCAACTCAGAAGTGGACATGCCCTCTCTCCTCTCTCCTCCCCAGGGCAGCCACTGATCACGTTTGATATTCTTCTTCTCAGAACTCTTTCTAGATAAACATCAGGTTTTTTGTTTTGTTTTTTTTTTTTTTTGAGGAAGGCTGGCCATGAGCTAACATCTGTGCCCATCTTCCTCTACTTTATATGTGGGACGCCTATCACGGCATGGCGTGCCAGGTGTTGCCATGTCCACACCCGGGATCCGAACCAGCGAACCGTGGGCCGCTGAAACGGAATGTGCGAACTTTACCACTGCGCCACCAGGCCGGCCCCATAAACATCAGCTTTTAAGAAACAAAATCATGACCACACTATCCATCCTCTTGGGCAACTTGCTTTGTTCCACCTAACACCATATCACGGGGCTCTTTCCACATCAAAGATCACAGCTGCCCTAAACGCTTTGTCCTATTTCTGGACAGGAATGTTCTATCATTTACTATGGCGCTCACCCCTTTAACAGATGTTTAGGGCATGTATGGTTTTGCAGGACCACCCAGGCCATTACAGTGCACAGCCTCATGTGTGTGCAGTGTGGCTCTGTATAAGAACTTGTGGCCCCGCTCGCTCTGAGTGTCCAGCTGCTGCCTGACATTGTCAGCAGCACTCCACTGGGCTGGCGGTCACGTCCCACCAGTGGGGCGCAATAGCACCCGCTTTGTTTTTGTCAATCTTTTGAGGACAAAAGTTATCTCTGTTTTCTCTTAATTTTCATTTCTGTATTATTCCTGAAGTTGAGCATCTTTTTCTGTATGTTTGTTGGTATCTTCTGTGAATTTCTTATTTTACTCTCTGTCCATTTGCTATTGCACTTGACTTCTTTTAACTTCAGTGATGGAGGTCATATGTACATACAGTCATGCGCTGCATAATGAGGTTTCAGTCAACAATAGACCACACATACAACGGTGGTCCCCAAGATCAGCACCATATAGTCTAGGTGTGTAGCAGGCTATACCGTCTAGATGTGTGTAAGTATACTCTATGATGTTGGTACGACAGCGAAATCACCTAGTGACACATTTCTCAGAACATATCTCCATTGATAAGTGATGCATGCTGTTTGTTAATTTTCACGTAGTCACACCTGTCAATATCTTCCTCTATGGTTATGGCCATGCAGAGAGGCCCAGATTATGACAATACCTTCCAATACTCTCTTCCAGTTCTAGGATCCTTGTATTTTTATGTTTAGATCTTTAATCTACCTAGAAATTACTTTTGTATATGGTGTGAGGTTGGGCCCAAGCTTCAAGTGGTGAGTCAACTAATTCAGTCTATATATTGAATAATCTGCCCATCGTGCAATGAATTGAAATGCTGCATTTATCGTATATGGATTCCCACATGGCTCCAGGTCTGTCCTCAGCTCTTCACACTGTGAACTCAGAGTCACTGGTTTATCACTGTCCCAGAGCTGCTGCTTCTGTCATTGCAGCTTTACAAAACACTCTGATAGCTGGAATGGCAATCCTACAACACTGTTCTTTCTCAAAAATTTCTGGGCTCTTCTCACACATTTACTCTTCCGGATGAACTTCAGAATCCATTCATAAAGTCCCAGAAAAAACCAAGTCTGTGGGTCTTTTCACTGGTACTGAATTTACATATGAACAGTGGGCTGACCTGTGAGGTCACCTGACAGCTTAGTCTTCAGATGCGGAACGTGTCCTATTTCTCTATTTACTCAGGCTTTTACACTCTTCAGTTATGTTTTCTAGTTCTCCTTACATAGGTTTGTCTGTTTCCCAAGGTTATTTCTAGACATTTTCTAGGTCTGGTTACCACGTGGGTGGGATCTGCTGCCGACGCCAGGGCAGCAGAGTAGAATGAGTCGGATCAGCCTGAGTGGAACTTCAGCTTCTAACTGGGTGATGCAGGGCAAGCTGCCAAGCTTCTCTGAGCTTCTTCCTCATTTGTGAAAGGGACACATAACCTCCCCAGCGCAGGCTTGCTGAGAAAGCCCCTGGGAGAGTACCCAGCACCTGCTAAGTCGTCAGTGTATTAATTCCCTTACTCCTCAATTATGTCAATTCTAAGACACGTAGTTTTCACACCTTCATGCTTCTGAAATTGTACGTGGGCCTTACAATCGACAGCATGTTATAGTTTAATTTGCAGCCATTTTTTTTCTTTCTGGGAGATTTCTAAAATAATGGTGTGTCTTATCATCAGTGGTGTTGCAGGTTCAATGAAGCATAATAATCTATGCCTATCCAGGTCCTTCTGCTTCCTCCTTTGCTAAGGGAATTCTCAGTCTAAATGCCGAGAGATGCACGAACACTCAAGGCAGGCATATAGAGCTTGGGGGATCCTGGCAGCAACCATGCTGGCCACCTTAAGAAGCATCCATCTCATCTCTTAGACAGAGCATGTGTTTCTGAAATTACAGGATCTTTTCACTGTGCAAACTCATAAAACCGGGACTGACAGAGCCACCCACCGCCCCAGTATTTTCCCCGCTTAGCAGCCACACAAGGAGCTTAGGGTCATGCGCTCACTCCTTCAACAGATGTCTTCAGAAATACGGTGATGGGGGACCAGGACTCCCGTCACTGACACTTACTCTAGCTGAGCCAGACTCTGGGGACGGGTCCCTGGCACCCAGCACATTCCTCCGTCCTGTGAGGCAGAGAGCAGGCTCCCCTGCTTCAACCCACAGATGGCAGCAGCACTTGACACCTACCAGACTCCTCAGGGCCGCCTGACTTTCACATGCCCTTTGTGCTTAAGGCTCTACAAAGGCACCAAAATGCCCATCACTCCCAAGAGCGAGGGCTCGTTCCAACCAGAACTAAGTGGTGCCCAGGATGGCACCAAGTATCGCAACGGGAGTACTGAGTGCACAGTGACTCACGCTCTATTCCCACAGGAGAAAAGGATTCCGATTTCCAGTTCCTCAGAACAAAGACCCATCAGAGGCACTGGTTAGGCCTCTTCATGAAACGATCCCGTCAGGCACCCCCTGTTCTAGTGAACTGACCCCAGGAGACTCATCAGAGATTGTTTCCCTTCCAGATCCCTGCTACATCTGACTGAGTCCGTCAACATGGTCCCCAGGTAAAACTCACTAACGTGCGCTTTCTAGTTCTCTGCTTTTCCCTCCCATCATTATTACTGAGATTCTGTGTGAAGGTGACATTCAGAGTGATGTAACCTGAACTAGGAGTCAATGATGACCACAGGAGGCCATGTGCTAGAGCATCCGATGGCCCCGAGGGCTCCAGACGGAAGGGAAGAGATGGTCCCATGGGGAGAACAGGCCCACAGTGAGTGCTGCACCAGCGGGAGCCATAGGGAGAGGCCAGCTCCACAGCCTGAGGCCGCAGGGTGCAGCAGGGGACCCTGCCCAGCAGGGTATACTGACAGGTGCCGCCCAGAGTCCCTGGGGTGTGAGGAGGCTGGTCAGCTCCAGTGATCCTGTAGAACCATGCGGGGAACCAAAAGTGTGGCAGGAGCATCAGTCACAGCAGCCAAAAGTGGAAATGGCTCAAATGTCCATCAGCGGCTGAATGGAGACATGAGGTGTGGTCTGTCCAGACAAGGGAACGTGATGCAGCCAGAAAAAGGAATGAAACTGACACACAGTGCCACATGGATGAACCTCGAAGCCATGATGCTAAATCAAAGAGGCCAGACGGAAAAGGCCCAGTGATATGCAATGTCCAGAACAAGCAAATGTACAGAGACAGGAAACAGGACAGTGGGTGCCAGGGGCTGGGGGAGGGGATGGGGAGTGACTGCTAATAGGTACAGGTTTCCTTTGGGGGCTAAAATGTTCTAAGTTATGTGGTGATGAGTGCACAGCTCTGAATACGCTCAAGGCCACTGAACTGCACACGTTCAGTGGGTGAACTGCATGCTGTGAAATTCCATCTCAATGAAGCTGCTACGACAAAGCGCAGCGGGTGCCCCTCTGGGTTGGACCTGGTTCGAGTCCCAGCTCTGCCGCTTTGTCCCACCCCCGCAACCTGTTTCTTCATCTATAAAATGGGGACACAGGCAGGATGACGGATTAACAGTGGCCGTGCACATAAAATGCTGGCATAACTCCCATGATGGCCACGTGGAGTGTTAGAGTCTTGCCACACGACAAGACTGAAGACAGTAAGAGGTGCAGCGGGCTCCCGCTTGCCCCTCCTCTGCACGCCATCTCCCATGCCTTGCTGGTGGACAGTCCCCGAACGCACCTCAGACCTCCTCCAGCGCTCCTACGGCCAGGAGCAGGAATGCTCAGCAGGGCCCACAGACCCTGAGGTGGAAATGCAAAATGTCATATGCCTGTGCACTTTTCTAGGGAGAAGACGTTTATGTTTTTATCAAATCCTCAAAAGCTCAAGAGTGCACTGCAACCTGCTGTGTGAGTTCTCTGGCACGCAGGAGGCCCTCTCGCACCAGGCCCTGCCCAGGACCACTCTGCAGTGCCCTTGCATAGCCTCCGAGGATGGCCCCGGCAGAAAGGGGATCTTTTGGGGGCTCACACAATGAGCACGAACTGCCCATTACTACCTTGATCCCGGTGCGTTCAAACTCGCCTGACATGTGTCCTTCCGAGGGCTAAGCCCAGCCCAGTGGGTTCCAATGTCTCAAAGGACAGTGGCCTGGCCCCTGCTGGCGTGAGCGCAAAGCCAAAGGAAGCACCCTCCAGAAAGCAGCGTGCAGCTGGTCCTCAGGAGTCCAAGCCTTTACCCTGGGGTCCCCACACCTAGAGATCGGTCCCAAAGAGACCATCAGAGATGAGGGCAAAGCTGTCCACCCACAGGTGTCTGTGATGGCAGCTTCTAAGCCGCAGGAAGGGGAACTGAGAGAGCTGGCCGAAAACTCTCCAGTCACACGAAGGCAAGGCAGTTAAAACGCGCAGAGGAAGACTGGTGCTTCGGGGACATGTTAACGTCACCCACATGGAAAAGGACAGACGTGAGCTGACGCCTCGTCCCCCGCACACAGGTGCGTGCTGTGGGGCCTGGAGGGCAACACCCTGACAGCAAAACGCTCACCACGGCCCGGGGGGCTCCTTTTGTTTTTACTCTTCTTGGCGATTTCTGATATTATTTGAATATTATAAAATGCCTGAAAACAGAATGTGTACGGTATTATCCGAACTACGTAAAGAAGAGTGGAAGGATGTCAAAATACCAGAAGTGATTGCCCCTGGATAGATTTTTTCTGAAATTTTTTTACAACGTTTATGAGAAAAATTCCCTTGAACATATATACTGCTGGAAGTGGGCACCCTTGACGTGCTCCTGGTCTCAGACGACAAGCTTTCAGTCGTTTCCACTGAGTGTGAATGTGCTTTATGATACTGCACCGTACACTTCAAAGTGGGTAGGATGGTAAATTCTATGTATTTTACCACAATTAAAAACTTGACTGTCGGGGCCGGCCCCATGGCTGAGTGGTTAAGTTCGCGCGCTCCACTTCAGTGGCTCAGGGTTTCACTGGTTCGGATCCTGGGCGCTGACATGGCACCACACTCATCAAGCCATGGTGAGGCGGCGTCCCATATGCCACAACTAGAAGGAGCTACAACTAAAAATATGCAACTACATACTGGGGGGCTTTGGGGAGAAAAAAAATAAAATCTTTAAAAAAAAAAACAGGGGGGCCTGGTGGTGCAGCGGTTAAGTTTGCATGTTCTGCTTCTCGGCGGCCCGGGGTTCGCCAGTTTGGATCCCAGGTGTGGACATGGCATCACCTGGCAAAAGCTGTGCTGTGGCAGGCGTCCCACATATAAAAAAAAGTAGAGGAAGATGGGCACGGATGTTAGCTCAGGGCCAGGCTTCCTCAGAAAAAACAGAGGAGGACTGGCAGTAGTTAGCTCAGGGCTAATCTTCCTCAAAAAAAAGAAGAAGAAAAAAAAACAACTGGCTGAAAAAACTTCTGTTTCAGGCATGAGGTGGCGCTGGTGCTACACGCTGCAGACAAGCATGCCCCCGGAGGTCCCCCACCTCAGGTCAGACTCTCAACCTAAGAAAACAGTCAAAGGCCTCAGAGCAGAGGAAGTGAGAACGGGCCAGAGAGAAAGCGCCAGTCGGCCCCCTTCCTCTGTGGCCCAGGCCTGGCAATGCCAGCAGCTAGAAGGCCGGCCGAGCCACCAGGACAGCGCTGTCCCCAAAGAGGGGCTGTGCGCAAAGCCCAGACGTGCTCCGGAAATGCCCTCAAGGCCCTGGTGGCAGAAGGTCACCCGTGCTCATCAGTGGAGAGTGACAGCAGCAGAAAGACTGGAAGGACAGCTCTGGGCTGCGAGGCAGCTCCGCCCCCTCAGGCAGCAGGAGACAAAACCGTCAGAAGGCAGCCTTCCGAGATTCTGCACAGAGAGACTTGCTGTCACCCCCGCCTTCCCGCATACTGCAGAGCCAACGGCCCTCCCGAGCCACAAGAAAGGAGGAGCACTGTCCCTGGAGCCACTGCAGTGGAGCCGGCGGGCCAGAACCGCTGCTCCCCTAGACACACCGCCACGTGCTGGCCTGAAGCCCACCTCTCTGGCTGCTGAGTGGGAGGAGGCGCTCGAGGTCCTGGAGCTCTTGTCCCACAGCAGGGCTTTGGGGACAAGGCCGTGTCTCAAGGCTCAGGCCGGGGACACACGGTCGAGCTCAGGGGGAGGTTGAACCTGGCTGAGACAATGCCCGGGGGCCACAGCCTGGCCTCAGAGCCACGCGGACGGCCTCAGCTGGGCGCTCTGCGTGCCCGCCAGCCCAGCCTGGAGGGAGAACCAGGAGTGAGCGGACATCAGGCGGGCTGTTCCTGCACCTGCTTCAGACCTGGGCGGGGGGTGCTGGTGGAGACCTGTGGGGCTGAGGGCTCGAGGAGGGGCACCCACCCTGTCTGGCATTTTCCTCACCGAGTTGGGGAGCTGGCAACGACCACCCTCCCAAACTTAGAAAGTTCTTAGAAAGTGGACTGCCCAGGGGAGGGGATTCAGAGCAGGGCTGGGACTGAGTGCTAATGGACATGGTGCCTTTTTGGGGTGATAAAATGTGCTAACATTAGATAGTTGCACAACTCTGCGAGCATCCTAACTAAACTGCACACTGTAAGTGGGTGAGTTTTATCACATGTGAAATACATCTCAATAAAACTGTGAAAAGAAATTCCTAGCTCATGGCTGACAGAGAATTTGCTTTCATTACAAACAAAAGCAACAATAGTGAGCCCCAGGGCCCTGGGGTCAGGGGTCGGGGGGTGGCTTGTGTTTACCTAGCAAGTCGGCCCCTTCGTCCACATCCCCGATGACCTCGGACCCCGCAGTCGAGAGCTCGTGGTACAGAGAGTCAGTGTTAATGCCAAAAGCCTTGTTCACGATCCCCTGGGTTGGGCTGTGAAGACATGTCGGGGTGGAGGGGGCAGAGTGAGTGGGCAGCACAGAGGGACCAAGTATGGGGACCCTCCGACACCCCCACGGGGTTGCTCAATGCTCACGCTGCTTGTCTCCCACCGTGAGAGGCTGTGGGGCCACCTTCACCAAAGGTACTGACTCCCACTGTGAACACTGAGCCCACGGGCCCGGCGAGTACCTGTTGCCCGTGCGGTCCAGGCGGGGCTCCCGACTCATGTCCAGCTCTGGGGTGGAGTCGATAATATCTTGAACATCAGACCACTCGTCACTACTGCCCATGCCTGAGGGGACACAGTGGAACCTGGGGTCAGGAGGGTGGCCGGCAGTTCCCTGTACTGTTCCTGGCTGCCCTCTGGCCCCACGTGTGGAGACACCATGCTGGACCCCAGCCAGGCAGGGACTGTCAAGGAAGCGTTCTCCCCACGCTGGTGGCCAGGAAGGGGCCCGTCCCCCAGAACTGTGCCTTCTTTCATGACTGTGTCTGCTGGGGGACAGGGCTACGCTCAGAGGCTGAGCTGTGTCCCCCAAATTCACATGTTGGAGCCCCAGCCCCTAAAACCTCAGAATGTGACCATATTTGGGGGTAGGGGTTTTCAAAGAGGCAATGAAGGTAAAATGAGGCCCCACCTGTGGGCGACGGTATCCTTATACAAAGAGGGGATCAGGACACAGACACATGCAGAAGGACGACCGTGTGAGGACACAGGGAGGAGATGGCCAGCTACACACCGAGGACAAAGGCCTCAGGAGAAACCGGCCCTGCCGACCCCCTGAACTCGGACCCCCGGCCTCCAGGACCGGGAGAAGTCAACACCTGTGGTTGAGCTGCCCGCCTGCGGGGTTTGTTATGGCAGCCAGAGCCAACCAACACATATCCCAAACTGAAACCCGCAGGAGGAGGAGCCATCTTCCCAGACGGGAAGGTAGGAGAGCTGGCGGCGGGCGGCTGGGCCCCGAGCCTGGGGAGCCAGGCGGCGGTACCTATGCTGACGTTCCGCATCTCCTGCGTGACCTGGACCTCCATGTTGCGGCTGTTGCGCTTCTCCCGAGCCCGCTTGCTGTTGTTCTTGGTGCCGGCGCCGTAGTCCGCCAGGGGCTGCAGGCCCTCGGTGAGGGGTGTGACCGCGGCCGAGGGCACAGAGGACGTGGGCGTGTTGGACTTGGTGCCCGTGGTGCTGGGTGTGGCAGCCGCCGAGGACTGGCCCGACTCGGACATCTCATCGTTCGGACACTAGGGCCAAACATGGGGAAGAGGGGGCTCATCGTGTGGGTCGCTGCCCCCCACGGCTCCGGGTGAGGCTGGGCAGACCACGCAGGGCCAGCAGGGCCTTGGCCACCTTTGTGAGGCCTCCCTTGCCCGGTTTCTTTGCCACAATAGAACAGCACTCTGTGCCTGGACCAGAAGGGACAGGGGGACCCCTGCTCTCCCATCAGGCTGATTCATCCTGGGCTACTCACTTGGCTCATTCAGCCGCTGCCTCTGGCTTTCTGGAGGCAGCCGCCACCTTATTTAAATGATTGGATCAGGGCTTTCAGCTTGCACGCTCCCCAGACAGCCCGATGATGCCACATGTGATGGACATGAAGCTACATGGACACGGCAGGCAACCCTTTGCAGCCAGCGGGTGGTCAGGAACAAGTTGCAGCCCAGGGCAGGGCAGAGGGCTCCAAAGAGGGACTGGGGAGGGGGTCGACCAGGACGAGCATGCCTTCTGATCAAGTTATCACTCTGCTGCGTGGCACTGGTGGGCTGCTCCCACCTGCTCCTGTCTCCTGCTTCCCGCCCCCACCACAGTCAGGGGCTGTGAAGGGGCACGCAGCTCCCCCATCTGCCTGCCGTGGCCTCCCAAACAGAGGGATGCCGGGGGACACGTAATGTTCAACTCCCACGGCTCAACGGGACCAAAGTTTGTTCTAAACATCTACGGAAATACAAACAAACTGAAATTCTGCTTCCACAGAATGGGACATCCCCAAAATATTCTGGGAGTGAAAAAAGACCAGATTATTAAAAACTGCAATCAATTGTTGACCACGTAAGTCTCCCTGGAGAGAAAGCACTCTATTTGCATAAGTACGTGACACGAAACACACACATTCTTTCCCTATAGTCTTTCCTGATGAAACTGTTGGACAATCTCAATAAAAACGGCCCCCACTCTTCTGGTAACCGACAAGATAACCCCTGTCTCATCCCCGAGCAGGCCGCCCCAGGCAGCCTCCAGGCGGCAGCTCCCTCGGTCCCTTGCTGCCCTCTTTCATGGTGCTGAGAGGGCATGACCTCAGGAAGAGGGTGGAGGGCCTGGGGTGGGGGCCCTGCTGAGAGCTGGCTCATGGTGTGCATCCCAGTTGCCTGATGGCGCCGGGTCACATGGTTTTCCAGAGGGCACACTTTGGGGAGAACTTTCCAACACAGGAGGAGCTGATGACAGGGGAGTCTGACCCTCTGTGAAGCTGGTCGGACCCTCAGACTAACCTACACCCACCTTTAACTAGCAAGGGCTGACCGGGCTCCTGTGGCTGCTGCTAGGTGCCCAGGAGCCAGAGCTGGGTGGGAGATTTCTGTCATCTGCCTTTTCCTGACCCGTCTGGTCAAGGCCAGTCCCAGGGCAGGACGCTGCCTCTCCTTGGACAGCAATTTCTGGCTTCGTCTAATAGGCTCCTGAGACCCCTCTACCAGGAGCCTCACCCATTCCACATCCTCCTCGAGGCTCTCAGTCTGGGTGGCTGTGTCCTCAGGGGACACTTAGTGACGTCTGGAGACACTTGTGGTTGCCACAACTGGTGGTGGGTGGAGGCCAGGGGTGCCACTCAACATGCCACGTACACAGGAGGACCCTACAGCCAAGAACGATGGGCCAGGATGGTCGACATGACAGGGCAAGGAGCCCTGAGTGAGAGCCAGCCCCTCGCCCCAGGATCGCCTCTGTGCAGACAGTTTCCTCCTGGGTTCAGTTCTACAGCTTAGGGCCAATCTGAGAAGGGAAAATCTTTCCTCTTCGTGGCACACTGACAGCCCTAATGCTGGTGCTCCCGAAGCGCTGTCCACCCCACACGTCAGAGGCACCGGCACCCACGGGGACGGGCCCTCTGTTGCCAGCCAGCCCCATGCTGGCACTCGAGGGGAGATGAGTGCAGGCGACTAGATGCACAGGGAATGCCCTGAAGAATGGGGGTGGGGGTGAGGAGCGTGAGGACATGCCTCACAGAGCCACACGTTTTCCAGACCACCTTCCTCAGCGGCCTGTCTCGCAGCCCGTCCAGGCCTCGCAAACTGTGTCTGTGGATTTTCGGCGCGACTCCTTGACCCGCATAACCGCCTCGGGGAATTCCGAGGTGTGGCCAGGCCTCCCCCAAGCTCACCAAGCTCTCGCTACCCTACAGGCCACCAGTGACCCATGGGATTCTCCCCCTGGCCACCACTTACCTACAGGCAAACCTCTCAACCTCCTACACACCAGCGTGTAGCACTGCCCTCCAAACGCAAGACCCCCACTCTAGCGGCCACTCCTCACCACACTCGCCACAACTGTGGTTACAACACTGAAAATACAGCACATCAAAACAAACACAGGACAAAAACAACAAAACAATTAGGAAATTAGAAAAACCTTAAAACCTAGAGCATGAAATAAAAAGAACTTAAATATAATCGTTAAAAAAAATAAAAACCAAATAAAACACATCTATGAACTAAAACATAAAACACCATGGTTTATTGAGAGAGAGAGACTATTTCAGACAGGGCAGGAGGAGGAAGAAGAGACGTGCTGAGAAGGAAAGCGGGCTCACACACGGGTGTGAGGGCAGGCCTGGAGCCCCAGCTCTCTGAGGCTCCCACGCCTTCTTCAGAAGCTCTGGGGCAAGCCCCGGCTGCAGGCCTAGTTTGCAGATGAGTGACAGCGAGTGTGTGCAAGTGGCTTGACTGGCCAAGCCAGGCCAGGGAGAGCCGGGACCCTGAGCCTCTGCCCTCTGCCCAGCCCCTACACCCTGGCAGGACGGCCGACAGCTGGTGGGTGAATGCCCCGTCAAATGTCACAGAGACATGCTCACTGCCCGGAACAAAAGCAGAGCGAGTGGGGTCACTTCCTGACAGGGCTGACAGCTTGCGGCAACCTCTTGCAGGCAAGCTGGACACTTAGAGGCGGAAGGACAGCCGGTAATGAGCTGTAGCGGGAAGGAAGCTTCCAGGGAAGTCTGGGCCCCACACCTACCAGCCAGCTCAGCCCCGAGGCCGAGGCGCTGAGCCTCCTGCAGGCGTCCTCCGACAGCCTCTGTGGGGAATCCACCAGAGCCGGGATCGCCTCCTCCACCCCCAGGGTGGCATCCTTACCTGGCGATGGGGCCAGTGTCCTGTCCTGACACTGCCTGCCTTCAAGGACAGGCTGAGCTCACAGACCAAAACTGGCAGCAAGTGACTAGGGGCCCTGAACAAGGCAGGAGCCATGGAAAGTCCCTGCCCTTGGCTTTTTCGGGGCCCCCATTCCGGGGTGCACTCCCTGGTTAGCTGTGGCACCCAGGATGTCTGCCCTCTCAAACTCAGAGGCCCAGAAGTCGTGAGCATGGACAGACAGGTAAGAACAGCCTAGAGAAGAGAAGCTAATTCTCTGCCGCCTGTGACTTCCTCCCAGTTGAAGGGCAAACCTCAAACACTGGAAGTATAATGCGTCCTGGGCAGGAGTCTGCTCTGGCTTCAAGCCTCGTACTTTGGGGTGTGTTGGGGGATGTTACTAAGCTCAGATGGGCAGACCGTGGCTGCAGAGGGGTCTAGCCTGGACTAGAAGGTGCCAATGCAGGCCACACAGGCAGTGGCCTCGGCGGCAGAGCGCCGGTCTGCAATTCACACCCTCCTGAGCTGGCTCGGTCTCTCCACTGCTGCCACACCTTGGGGAGAGGTCCGACTAACCCCAGGGAAGCTGCAAAGGGTTGTATGCAGGGAAAGGGCTTCCTGAATGAACATGGGGCGATGGGAAAGAGACCCTCACTCCACAGCACGGCGACAAAACCTGGTAGCTGGAGCTGAACTGCAGCTGGCCGAGGTCACTCAGGTGCCAGTGGTCCCCCGCAGGCACGAGCTTGCCCCCCATCTGTGCACGTACCGTGCTGTCGGCCAGGGGGAAGACGTTCAGAGAGGTGGGGCGCTCCTTCCTGCTGAAATGAGAGAGGAGAGGAGCCATGGTTAGACAGCAGCTCCCCAAACGCAAACTGAAGACTCTTTCTGAACACACAGAGGCCGCTTCTGCAGACGGAGCTGTTCTAAACGATGTTGCTGGCCCAGCTCGAGGGGTGAGAGGTCAGCTGCAGGGAGGGTGTGCGCTTCTGGGCAGCCCCTCGCACACAGGGACCTCCTGTGCCCTCCATTTACAGCCGCACCTCAATCAGACATGTTCACACACTCGGGGGATCTCTGCTGAACTGTGACCCCATGTAACACTCCCCTTCTGTCACGTGTGATTTATCGTTATTAGTTATTTTGATTTAAACCGACACCCGCTATGTGTGCCAAGGAATCCCGCAGCAGAGTGCCACGGCCCTCTGGCACCTGGTCAGCAGTGACCGGCTCCTCTGAGCGGCGACTTTTAGGACAATGGTCTTCCTTATGTTGAGCCCAGACCTGCTCCCTCGTAGCCGTCACCCTGCTTCTGCCCGCAGCCAGGCGGAGGAATGGACCCTTTGCCCTTTGTTTGTTCCTGGCCCTTTCCCTCTCATTCAGTGTTTTCCATGAGATTTTCTCGCTGTCAGATGTTTGAACAGGTGGGTATGGAGCAGAGCACCGCCCTTCTGCTGGGCACTGTGCCCCAGGCCCCAGTCACCTTCTCGCTCCCTACAGTTCTTCCCGGCTGTCACGGGGCACAGGAGCACAGACAGGGATCCCTGAAAGCTGTGCTAGGAAACGGGGAATAGCCGGTAGCCTGGAGTTGTACGGGCAAAGCTGAAAGGCGCCTGCGTGGGCTCAGTCCCTGAGGAGACGGCCATTAGTGATGGAGAGGGCAGGGACCCTCCTCCATTGGATGCTTCACATGGGGCGCCAGGCTGCAGGCAGCCGGGCCAGCTCCCAGCTCTGCCCTGGGACAGACACATCGCACACAGTCACACACCGGAGCCCACGCTGCTCAGAGCTGTTTAGGCCAAGAATTTGAGTCCCTCACACCACAGCCTCTCGCACTCAGAGCCTGACCCTGAGAGACTGCAGCAGGAGAGGGTGGTGGGGGGCCTCCTCAGAGGTCCCAAAGAGCCAGATCTAGAGGCCGACTGTTCTGGAGAGAGAAGACGGTGAGCTCCTCAGGATGCTGGGAGGATGCAGGTGATGCAGAGGGAGAGCAGAGTGGCTGCTGTTGACAGAGCCCACTACAGCCAGAGAGGCGGCTTCGTAAAGCGCAACTCTGGGGAGGGGACTCTCTGGCTGGGGCCCCCACGCAGCTCTGGGGCTGGCGGGGGCTGGGATGAAGCAGGAGGAAAACAGTCTGTGAGTCAGAGTCCTGCCTCGTCCCCTCCAGGGCCAGCTCATCTGTCCTGCTCAGCAGACTCTGCCTCCCGCAGAGCAGGTCCCCTGGACCTGCTGGGACAGTCTGTGCTGTCTCAGAGCTAATCTGTGGCAGGCACCTGACCAGAGCAGCAGCGTGCTCCCAAGGGGCCAGGTCTACCCACACCTGTGGGAGCTGGACAGAGGGGCCCACTGGGGGCCAGGCCCCTCAGGAAGGCGATTTCCTGTGGACGAGCTCAAGTGCCTCCCACAGCCCTGATCACCAGTGACAGAGGACAGGTCCTCAGATATGCCTCAGCCTGTCACTTAAGAGTTGAAGAAATTCAGATCCTAAGGAAGACATGGACTTGGAAAGGTCTGCCAGAACCTCAGCGGCCGGGGCTCAGCCCTTGCCTGGGCTCTTCTCTGACAACGGCCCACAGGTCCCTAGGCATCTGGGAAGGCGGCCGCCACCACACGGTCAGCACATCCCTGCATCCCTGGGGGGGGGGCCAGGCCTCCAGAGCTGTGGTGCAGACGGGCCTGGACTCCCGTCTGCTCCCTTGGGGGCTCCCAATGCTGGTGTGGGGAATCCCTCTCCTGGGGCCTGGCTCGGACCTCGGGTGAAATGCATACAATGGGTCCTCGGCGCCAGACAAGTGCGATCCAGGCTGTCACCGGATACTAAAGGGTGATGGCAGGGGCAGAGTGGGAACTCCTGCCTCAAAGGACAGGGAGGGGACACTTAGCCATCACCCGCTTCCACAGCTCTGTGCTCAGACATACGCCGCGCTTGGAGACAGCCAGGCTGCTCCCCTACAACAGAAATCTTCAGCAGGAATTGAATCTCATCTTCTCTTTGCTGGCCCCCACAGAGTTGTGAGTGGGCCTGCTCTCCAAGCCTTGTGAGTATTCTCTAGGCATTCTGACTGGTGGTCCAGAGCCCTGTGCAAAACTCAGCCATCACGTCCTCTTTTTACATCCCCATAGATCCCTCGGAAGATGCCAAAGCTTGTCCACTTCAGAGCTGCAGCCCAAGGGGGTCACACTGCCCACAGAGGTCATCCCACCTGTGGGGGTCACGGTCATGCTGCTGGCTCTGGGCCCAAGGCTCTAAGTGACCGAGCCAGGCTGTGAGTCCAGGTCTGTGTGACACTCCACCCCCTGCCTACCATGGCAGCACCAACCCAGGACTTTGGACACGAGGTCCGCTCTGTGGACGGGTGGATGTTTGCTGACTGGGGATCCCTGCACTGCCACCTCCTTTGTGGCTGTCTCAGGGACCTTGGACCAGCCTGCTGCCTCCTCAATGTTGGGGCCGTAAATGCCACATCCAGAGCCGGTGATCTGTAGCATTGCTGCAGGACACACGTGGAGGGGACTGAGGAACCACCAGCCACCCTAACTCTCCCAAACCTGTGGGGACCCCCGGGCGCCCGGCATGACAGCGCCCCACTGCCGCAGGCTTTACCTTTTCCTCCACGACTGGCGAGGACTGCAGGGCAGCGACAGACACAAGGGCCAGCACACAGCAGTGACGGCACAGAGGGCAAGACAAGAACACAGCATTAGAGAGCGAAGGCCGGGGGCTCAGGCCGCACACGTGCTCACACGGGCAGTGAGTGTGCGACGACAGAGAACAGTCAGATGATGAAACATGCAGACACCTATATGCGACACACACACGACACACACACACAGGACCCTCTCAGCTTGGATGAGAGGCCCCTCAAACAGGGCCTGTGCAGCAGGCCAGCGTCCTCTCCCAGATGACTCCCAGCACACAGGGGCACGCAGGCATGCAGTGACAGAGCACATGGTCACACACATGCTCACGTTCATGGGCCCAAGCACACTGACCAGGTGTTTCGAGCTCACACTGAGTTTTACTCGAAAGACACAGACTCAGAAAACCAAGCCAGGAGTGAAGGAAAACACCTGTCTCGGCTCAGCAGCGAGCAGCAGCCCCCCAGCGCTAAGGATGAGGCCCCCACGGAGGGAGCTGGAAAGTGTGAACTAAGAAGGTGGGGCAGGCATACGTATTTATCCCCAAAGGATGCAGAACTATGGCAGAACAGGGTACACCCCAGAGAAGAGGGGGTCACGATGGCGGGGCGGGGCCTTCTCCCTAACCCATCAACACAGGAGTAGCACAGGCCACAAAGGTCCAAGCCTCTGAGCCCTACAAAGGCCAACGGCCAGCACAGTGAGAAGGCTTATGCCTTCTTCGTGTCCACCAGTGTTACTTCTAGAAACGTGAGGCAGCAGCTGCTGTCCACGTCTGTTCACCTGGAAACAGGTGCAGGGAGAGCCAGACACGCATGGTGGGCCCTCGAAATGTCAGCTTCCAGTGCGTGTCTGGGCCCCAGAGGAGTGACTGAGGGGAAAGCAGGAGCCCAGCCAGCAGGGCGATGGGGGCAGCCCGGACATGCAGCACTGCCCTCTGCTCCGTGTGACCTGCTTCCCAAGAAGTCCTGCCGCGGGCATCGACCCACAGGAGCATCCTCCTCTTCACAGCCAAGGGACCACAGGAGGGAGGCAGCTGACAGCCCCAGGCACCTTCTCCCTGCGGGCAGGCATCTCTCCTACGAGAGTGGAGACTGGCTCGGGAAGCTCTGTCAGCAGAGAGCGCTGAGGGCCTGGACACGATGGCCGTGCGCACCTGGGCCGCAGGGACTCCCGACAGGATCAGGTCTGTGAGACCAGGCTTGGAAATCTAGACCTGAGCCCCTCCCTCACCTAAACAGCCAAGGGGTCCATTTTACAAATGAGGGGGCTCCTGTGGGCTTTGGCTTGGTGTGGAGAAGGCCTCTGCTGGAGCACCACCCCTACAGGCACCACAGGCCCCATCCTGCCCAGAGGCAACAAATGGCCGTGGCCAGGCAGCAGGATCTGCGCTTACTGGCATGGACAGAAGAGACCCACAGACTCATCCCTGAGGGACCAGGCCGCAGGGCTGCTTACGATCAGCCTGTCCGGGTTCCCTGAGGGAGGAGGAGAGCTCCAATGCAGAGCCTTCAAGAGCTGCCGCGGGGCCTCAGAGGGACCCTGTGAACCAGCCCCAGTGCGTCCAGCAGTCCTGAGCAGAAGGGCGGGGCCTGCCATGGACCAGGGAAGCCACCTCCCCACAGGCCCACCTGCCCTCTGAGCACCAGCGGGGCCTGGAGGGACTCTGCTCAGGGCCCCGGGAGCCGCAAGACCCATCTCAGCAGCAGGTTCCCGGACCAGCCTGCCTCTACTGCACGTGCAGACGGCCCCGAACAGCACCCTCGCCCTGCACTCATGCCTCTTCTACACAGCGGAGGAACCGGGGGCCCGAGCCGGCCCACAGTGACGGCCGGAGCCCTCAGGGCCTGGCTCTGGCACCTGGGCAGCTTCTGCTTCTGGCTGAGCCCACATCGTCCTGAGGTTCTGAGGACGCCCATTTCTGTAGTGTTCCTGGGGTCCAGTGCAGTGACCACTGTGACTTAGGACCCCAGACGCTCATGGCCTCCAAGTCTGGAGTTCAGAGGTCACCTCTCTGGCCAGGAAAACTGGGGCCCTTTCCCTCGGCTCTGTCCTGTGTGACCTTCAGGGTGCTCCTATGAAAGGAGCTGGCAGGGAAAGAGCCTGAGCACAGAAGGCCACAGCTCTCAGGGACTGGCCAAGGGCCCCGTGCTCACCCAACTGCCCAGCCTCTGCACCGCAGCTCACACTGCCCTGCCAACTTCCCCCTAAAGCAACACGAGGACCCCCTCTTCCAGGTTAGCATTCAAATGCAGTCACTTGGAAATCCCTCGACATCTTCTGAGAGCCAGGAGTGAGGGTTTCACAGCGCTCAAGAGAAAATCTCCTGCACCATGAGCTGGAGCTTGGAGGTTGGTATTTCCCACCTTCAGATATACCTGACCCAGAAACAATATCTACAAAAGGTTTTGTTCTTTATTTATTTATATTTTTTTGGTGAGGAAGATTGGCCCTGAGTTAACATCTGTTGCCAACCTTCCTCTTTTTTTTGCTTGAGAAGATTAGCCCTGAGCTAACATCTGTACCAGTCTTCCTCTATTTTATGTGTGGGACACCACCACAGTGTGGCTGATGAGTGGAGCAGGTCTGCACCTGGGATCTGAACCCACGAACCTAGGCTGCCAAAGCGGAGCACATCTAACTCTAACCACTCGGCCACAGGGCTGGCCCCTGCAAAAGGTTTTATAGTTTAACAAACTCTCTGATACGTATTTCCTCACTTAATTCTCCAAGACTGTAGGGGTCAGCTGGGGAACAGCCTGCAAGCCCCTCCCGTGGGACACAAACACTCCCAGTAAGGGGGCACCCACATGGGTATGGACCCCACTCCTGCTGAAAGCAGCGAGACTGTCTAGAAACATGCCAGTCGCTCCTCGATGACCACCTTCCAAGGTCCTGCTGGGCCTTCACAGACATACCAAGCATTTTGGCTTTCACATCGGAAGACTCAAGTACAGGACCACGACGGCTTTACCCGCAGTGGCCCAGAGAGCAACTGACGATGCCCGAGTGGAAGGGCCTGAATCTCCTGGTTTGCAGACATACACACCGAAGAGGCACAAACGAAACTTTGCAGCCGATAAGGCCTTTATGTGACACAACTAGGGGCTTTAGGCATTCGCCTGCAGGAATGCATCTGCCGGCGTCGCCCTGCCCTGCAGCGAGAATGTGGCTCCATCTGGCAGTCACCAAGTTGTCCTGGGCCTCTTCCCCACCCACACGCAGTTGTTCCCAGGATTCGTGGTACTAATGTTCTACACCGTCCCCGAGGACACTGGATTAGTGACTGCTGAACCACTCTTCCAGGTGAAATAGGCACACGCACCCACGCGCGCACACACACACACACATACAGATCTCTCACAGATGAGAAGCATAATTCCTAACTCATCCTAGGAGGTTCTATTTGCTGTATGTTATGGAAGAGAAATGAGGTGCGGAAGTATTTGTTGGCCTGCCTGAGGCCGCCCCACCAACAGGAGCCAGAGCTTCCCCTCAAATCCCACTGAACGGCCCCAGAATGAAAGCATCTGGCACAACATTGCGCCACCCCTTCCATCTCCATCCTCTGGGCATCTCTGCACGAGGCTGAGACGCGCGGGCAGAGTGTCGCCTTGTTCGACCTCAGCTGGCACCATGCGTGTGGGGTGACTCAATTTGTCGCCCCCCTGCACGCGTCTGCAAATGCCTGCAGAAGCACTGCGAGTGCCGACCCTACAGATAAATTTCAGCGAGGAGGTGAATTTACCAACATCTGCGAACACCAGGCCCGACTGTGCGCAACTTCCCCTGCACACGGGCCAGCAGAAGGCCCACCCACGCCCCCACCAGCCCACTCTGGCACCAGGGGCAATCTCAGCACACCTTCCTGCTCACACCACACACTCGGACCCAACATCTCTCCTCCTGAGTCCCAGGAGGACGCAGTTCTCCAGAGCGCTCCCCCGTCCCCCTGACCCAGAGCCCCTGGGAGGAGGGGCCGCCACACTCTGCAGGCTCCGACTCCCGCCCTACCTCCTCCCTGGCAGGCTGCTCTCCGTCTGGCTGTTTCCCCCAACTTGCTGCATCTTGGACCTCTCGATATGCTCCACGTAGGTCTGTATCATCTGCGAAGAAGGAAACCTCCGCGTGAGTAATTCCTGCTGATGGAGGCCTCGCCCCTGCCCTTTCTAACCTGCCGCGTTTTCCAGACCCACTGCTCTGACAGAAATAAAGCCACAGTTCGGTGGGGTGGAGTCTGAGCAGCACATGGCTTTCAGGCTGGGCAGCAGATTGCCAGAAAAAGAAGCAGCCCAAAGGCCACCCCAGGTCGGCAGGCACCCACACGAGTCTGGGCTGGAGGCTGAGGTGGGCCGGGCGCCTACCTCCGTGTGGCGCTGGTGCAGAGCGTTGTACTCCTTCTTCATCTCCGACTCCCGCTCCTCCAACCGGGAGACTGGAAAACACAACCGCTGTTTGTCAGCACACCACCTGCTCCTCCACCGCTCCTCACCTCTCCTCTGGGCCCAGCTGCCCGCGGGCAGGGGGTTCCAGGACAAGCTGTACCTCAAGCTCAAGATGTTACCACTAGGAGAGAATCCCCTGGGGATGCGAGCATGCAGATTCCGACTTGCCTGGGGCACGTTGTGTGTGTGCTGCCCTATCTGAGGATTTCAATTCTTCTACAGAGAGAAACAGGATGGCGGAAATCCACAGGAGCATTACTACGCACACTAAGTCAGCTAGGAGCTTCTGGGATGTAGCAAAACTCACAGGATGTGTCAAGTGTAAATGTGGAACAAGCAAGTGGCTTGTAGAAAGAGGCAGAAGTCATAAGTGAGTCACCTCTAAGACATGTGAAAGAGTGAACGAACATCTGAAACATGTGACGGAACAGATGTCCCTTCCATGCACCAAGGGTGGAACATACATGTCCCTTCCATGCACCAAGGGCTGGACCAAGTCATGAGCATGCCACCTATGGCTGGCAGGGTTGTCACCCTTAAATTGTCAGCCCCTGGTGACACCCAGGATAGTCTCCTCTCGCCCCACAAGTGCTCAGTCCAAGAAATGCAGTGAGCCCCACGACCACTCAGTGGGTAACTAGAGAGCTACGGTGGCGGCCAGGTGACCTGGCCCCACGTCCTGCCAATGGAGCAAGCGTGTCACTGGCTCGGACACCTTCGGTCTGTGTCCCTTTGTTCAAATGTCAGCTCTGTCCTTGTTGGCCCCTGTGGGGAAGGCCACTGTGCAGAGCAAGAGTCAGGACACGTGGCAGCTGTGGGACCAGGGACGCACACAGTGTGGCCTTAAACCTCCTGTCCTCAGTGTGTGAGCCTCCCTCCCCCCGGCACCTGTGTTAAACGGATTTAACAAACGACACTATTCAGCACGTCATTTCAGTCCATCCGCTCTCCTGTTCCATGACTGCCAGTGTAGCTTGCTCGGCAGTGTCCTTGAAGCCAACACTGTGTCGAGGTCGTTCCCCACCTGACGGGTGAAGCCTGACAGTCTGCATTTCCGACACTCCCTGTCATGCTGCCCTGCTGGTCTGGGGGCCACACCCTGAGCAGCAGCAAGGGTGTCTGTACAAAGCAGAGCAAAGGCCTAGCCTTCCCTTCAGGAGCTTGAAGGGCTCACAGACACCGGCACACAACACACACCAAAGTGGCTGCCAGAGGAAGACTCTACACCGGGCGCCTCTGACCCCCCGCCTCTGCTCCAGCTTTGGGAGGTGCTGCCTGTCTGTGTACGAGCCCCTGGAGAGCACTGTGGGGTCACGGCCTCAGGACCTCTCCTGGCCTCCCTGCTGGGCGGGGTGCAGGCCACTGCCTGGCTGCAGGACCCCGGAGGCATGTTCCCCTCTCTCCTCTGGCCCCCACTCCTGGTGCCCATCAAACGAATAACTTCACCCTGCAATTCGGAGTCTACATTTTTTTCCTTCTGAGAAGAGCTGAACAGGTTTCACAGATCAAAAACATGCTAAGCAAAGGCAATATTACGAATTCCGTGTAATTACAGGAAGGGTTTATCCAAGGGCCTCAAACAGGCCTTTGGTTTGCTTCTGTTCTGCAAACACTGGCAGTTTGTACGTTTATGTGCAAGTGTGTGTGTGAGCCGCTGCCCACGGGAGGCCAGTGACTCGCCGACACCCCGTCGGGTACTGGCCTTAGCAAAATGGCCTTGAAGGCATGGTTGGCAATAGGGCTAGGCCCAACACATTAAACCGTGTTTTTTCATGATTTCATCTTAACTCCAAGGTAACTAGGTGAAGCAGCAAACTAGGTCTCAATCATTAAAACCTCTAATTACAGAAAACTGAAATTACACAGGTCATTATAACTTTGACAGTACAGTTTAAGCAAAGACTTCTGAAAACTAAATAATAGTTCTTATAATAATAATAATAACAATCAAAACTCTTTTCTTTGCCTTTCCTGCAAGGAACAGAGTGTTCCCGTTGGTACCTTGGATCAGCCATGCACCCCTCTTAGGAACTGTCACTTGGGAGGCTCCATCAGTGGGCGCACCTTTCAGATGATGAAAGAGCAATCTCTCTTCAGCGGTGTACAGACGAGAGCCCTACATGGCAACGGGGAGCTTTGTTCTAAAGGTCCACATGAGGATCACAGATTTGTGAATGTGGGGTCAGACTGCAGTATGAAGCCAAAACGCTCTGTCATCAAAGGGGCTTTACTCACTTATTTTACTTATGTCCACAGAGGATTTGAGGCCTATTACAGAAATACACAGCAGTAAAGAGAGAAAACAAATGGCTGAGGGCCTCACAGTGCGCATTAAATAAGGCCATCATTGGGTTTTCTCACTCTTTTTATCAGAGGCTGTCAACACCCTTCCGGGCCGGGGTCAGCCTGAGAAGGACGAACACACTCAAAGGCAGTTTCATCCTTCGCTAGCTACTCACTCTGATCTGCATAGTTTTTGGCCTTCAGCTCCAGCTGGCGTGTCTGAAACTCATAATGTTCCACCTGGATTTGTAGCTCTTTCTTCTCTTGCTCCAAGGCATCTTCAAACTCGATGAATTTCTATACAGGAAGGAAGGAAAAGAGCAGGCACCATGAATGTGGGATGGCCAGAAGACAGCAGCCCTGCACAGAAGGGTGACGGGCTTCAAGGACCAAGAGGCGAAAGATTCTCTAAGGCCACAGGCTCGGGACCAGGCTGCGGTCTCCCCGTCCCAGAGTCAGCTTCCCTTCACATCCCAGTGCCTGCCACCCTCTTCGGGGAAACTTGACCCAGAGCACCCGTGAGAGGAGGGCAGGAGGGGCTCCCCAAGAGTGAGTAACTGACAACCTCCTGACCAGCTATCTGGCAAGTCAGCAGGGCCCTGAGTTTAGGAGGGCCCCACACTTGGTTTAATGTTCTGCTGTTGCCATCTTGAAATTCTTAATAATTTTTGAACAAGGGGCCCTGCGTTTCCATTTTTACACCAGGCCCCACAAATTACGTGGCTGGTCCTTTGGCGATAGTGTGATATTACTCCTCGCAATACTAAACATCTAAAAGAGGTCAAGTCCATTTTTCTCTTAATCTGTATTTCAACCACTACTCAGTGCAGGATGCCATCATTACTGCAACAACCTCCTCTCCTTGAAAAAAAGGCCGGGGGGGTTGGTCGAGAGTTGGAATCTTCACCTTACATAGGAAGTTTCTGAGCAAAAGTGTTATCAAATCAAGTGAAAAGAAAACACTTTGCAAAATAGAAGAAACTCCTGAAAGGTCTTAGGGGGGCATCACTGAAAGCTGTGCTGTGAAGCTAGGCCTCTGGTGGGGGGGGAACAGGTACTGGCTGCGCAGCACCGCCCCCCCCGGCCCCCCCCACCCCCGCTGGCAGGGCCCCAGGCTAGGTGTCAGCACAGCCACCACTAGCTGTAATTCCTACAGCAGCCCTGAGGGAGAGCGGTTAACACCTCAATTTTACTGAGTAGGAAACCAGAATATTATTCAGAAATTTCATTTGTAGGAAGCATAAATACCAGCCGGGTTGTTAAGACACAGAGTTTCTCAGACGATGGGAATACAAAACTGATGGTTGAGTTCAGGTTTTGGGGGTCTGGCAGAGTCAATAAACTTGTGGTGGCCAGGGTTTATTTCCCATAACAAGGGCACCCGTCCCCACCCCAACACGGAGCCCAGAGACGCTTCTTCCTACAACAGCTTCTCAAAGGTCTTTGTGCTGCAGACCACTGGGCTCCTGCCCGAAGGATGAGTCATTCTGTGCAGGGGCTGGGAGGGTGGAAGCCCGGGCTGAGGGAGGGACGGGGGAGCATCCACGGACTGGCAGGCAGGCAGGGCAGAGCGGCACCAGAAAGTCTGGATCAACGACATCACACGCAACTTAAGTGAAATGAAGAAAAAGTAAAAGCCAGGAAAATGCACATGAGTGGGGCAACTGTACAAAAAAAAAGTGGTTCTGAATGACTGGAAATAACCAGCATGTGCAGAATAAACATGCTATTAATTGACCGATAAGGGTACTTTAAAAATTGGGTAATTTTAATTCCTATTACTTAAAAAAATTAAAAGAACTAGATAAACAACCTATGATTGGTAGAAAAATCAGACGAGAGTGTTAAGTTACAAAATCATAATCTTACTATCCAGAGAAGAGACAGTTAAAATTGTGTGACCTTCTTCCAGATTTGTGCCTGAGTGTGCGTGCGTGTGTAGGGCAGACGCGCGCTCTCTTGTACACAGTATCTCGTGACCTGATTTATTCAGCATTTACGTTGGAACATCCTTCTACATCAAGAAACGTATTCTCCCACATCCATTTCCAGCAGGTGTGTGCTCCGCGGCGAGCATGTGCGTGCAGAGCAGTGTAATCACTCCATCGCCTACTGCTGGACTGCTCAGTTGCTTCCCATGTTGGTTCTATCGTTCCTACTTGTGTACCTGCCCGGAGGCTCCCTGCTGTCTAAAGCTGTGGTCCACACTGCTGCTGACTGTTCAGATGGGTACCCCCATTCACACTCCCTCAACGAGGTGGGAAGGTCCCTCCCCCAGGGCTCCCACCGTCTCTGCATGCAGCTTAACTATAGCGCTGCCAGTCTGTAGGGGGTGGGGGCTGGGGGGAGGCAACAGCACAACATCCTTAATTTTCAGTTCCTTGATTACTAGTGAGAGAGAACATTTTTTCATAAATTTATTGGTCATACATACCACTTCTTTCATTATGTCCTTTGTCCAACTTTCTAATACTATGCTCCTATTTTTCTTAATGATTTGTAAGGACTTTTTTATACCTATTCAAGAATTTGCCTGTCTTGCATGCTGTAAGTACTTTTCCCAGGATGTAGTGTGTGTGTGTATAGTATACAAGGTTACTTTCTTCTATACCATTTACTTAATAATTTATCTTTTCCTCATTGTTTTTAAATGCCACCTTTATCATATGCTAAACTCTAGTACATATTTCAGTCTATTTCTGAGCCAGTACCAAAGGTTTTTTAAACTCGGAGTGTTACAGTACCTCTGACAGGTGATATGCATTCACCTTCTTAAATCTTCCTTTTCAACATCTTGGTTTTTCTCGCTTGTTCATCCTTCCAGATTAACTTGAGACTCATCCTGAGTCACTTATATACTTATTCTTTGACTAAGCATTTCACCTTCAGAAAGCACCAGTTCTCTGGTCCTCGGGAAGAGGTCCCTGTTTTTGCTGAGAAAATGCTCAGGGTTGGACTTGGGGTGAAGAGAAAACTCATCTTGAGCCAGTGAGTGGGCAGCTGGGGCTGGAAAGCAGAAAAGTCTCCCTTTCTTTAAACCAATCACTGTCCTACCTCTGAGCTGTACCACTGAGGTTTTCGCAAAGAAAAGGTTTTTTTGGTGCTGGTGTCATTTCACTGGAGTTTTCCCCATCTATATTTCATCATATTATCTGCATTTGATATTTGGGAATCAACTAAAAAGATTTCCAAACTGAAGACAATGTGAGAAAACCCACTCCCAGATTCTTTAGAAGGTCGAGACAGACCTTCCTAAATCTATGCTGATACATGATCATTAAAATCCAATGCAGGTGACAGTGCCTTAAAACAACCCATATGCTTACAGATTCCTGACGAAGTTGGCCCCAAACCAGGTCACATGCAGAAACCCTCTGATATTATGAGATTGTACAGCCACTGAGCATCAGGAAATATGGAGACATTAACCAAGAGAGCAAAAATACCTAAGGAATATCAAAGCCAGACAAGGACAACACAAAGAAGGAAAATTACAGGCCCATATCATTGATGAACATAGATGCAAAAATCCTCAACAAAGTATTGGCAAACCGAATACAACAATGTATTAAAAAAAATCATACACCATGATCAAGTGGGATTCCTACCAGGGACACAAGGATGGTTCAACATCCGCAAATCAATCAATGTGATACACCACACTAACAAAGTGAGGAACAAAAACCACATGATAACCTCAACAGACACAGAGAAAGCATTTGACAAGATCCAACATCCATTCATGATAAAAACTCTCAATAAAATGGGGATAGAAGGAAAGTACCTCAACATGATAAAGGCCGTATATGACAAACTCACAGCCAACATCATACTCAATGGGGAAAAATTGAAAGCCATCCCTCTGAGAACAGGAACAAGACAAGGGTGCCCACTCTCACCATTCCTATTCAACATAGCACTGGAGGTTTTGGCCAGAGCAATTAGGCAAGAAAATGAAATAAAAGGAATCCAAATAGGCACTGAAGAAGCGAAACTCTCACTGTTTGCAGATGACATGATTTTATATATAGAAAACCCTAAAGAATCCATCAGAAAACTATTAGAAATAATCAACAACTACAGCAAAGTTGCACAGTACAAAGTCAACTTACAAAAATCAGTAGCATTTCTATACTTTAATAACAAACAAAGAGAACAAGAACTCAAGAATACAATCCCATTTACAACTGCAACAAAAAGAATAAAATATCTAGGAATAAATTTAACCAAGGAGGTGAAAGACCTATATAAGGAAAAACTAAGACATTACTGAAAGAAATCGATAATGACATAAAGAAATGGAAAGATATTCCATGCACATGGATTGGAAGAATAAACTTAGTTAAAATGTCCATACTGCCTAAAGCAATCTACAGATTCAATGCAATCCCAATCAGAATCCCAGTGACATTCTTCACAGAAATAGAACAAAGAATGTTAAAATTCATATGAGGCAACAAAAGACCCCGAATAGCCAAAGCAATTGTGAGAAACAAGAACAAAGCTGGTGGCATCGCAATTGCTGACTTCAAAACATATTACAAAGCTACAGTAATCAAAACAGCATGGTACTGGAACAAGAACAGACACACAGATCAATGGAACAGAATTGAAAACCCAGAAATAAAAACCCCACATCTACGGACAGCTAATCTTTGACAAAGGAGCCAAGAACATACAATGGAGAAAGGAAAGCCTCTTCAACAAATGGTGCTGGGAAAACTGGACAGCCACATGCAAAGGAATGAAAGCAGACCATTATCTGCCCCCATATACAAAAACAGACTCAAAATGGACCACAGACTTGAAGGTAAGACCTGAAACCATAAGACTTCTGGAAGAAAATATAGGCAGTGCACTCTTTGATATCAGACTTAAAAGGATCTTTTTGAATACCATGTCTACTCAGACAAGGGAAACAAAAGAAAAAATAAACAAGTGGAACTTCATCAGACTAAAGAGCTTCTAGAAGGCAAAAGAAACCAAGATCAAAATGAAAAAACAACCCACCAAATGGAAGAAAATATTTGGAAATCATATATCCAATAAGGGGTTAATCTCCATAATATATAAAGAACTCACACAAATGAACTACAAAAAAATAAACAACCCAATCAAAAAGTGGGCAGAGGATATGAACAGACATTTTTCCAAAGAAGATATACAGATGGCTAATAGGTACATGAAAAGATGCTCAACATCACTAATCATGAGGGAAATGCAAATCAAAACTACACTTAGATATCATCTTACGCCTGTTAGAGTAGCTATAATCACCAAGACTAAAAATAACAAAT